AATAAAATCCTTTATCTTGACATTTACCACAGTATAATCTTTATCTAAATTGCGTCCAATGAATTGCGGTGGAATTACAGTTACTTATTACAGTACACACGCATGCATTATAAAATTATCAACGGTCATCAAAACACCGCTGGTGATCTTAAAACAATTCACGAATTCACTTATACTTATCAAGAAGGGTTTTGACCGTAATGCTCTTGGGAAAATTAATAAAAAGCGAGTTATATTATGGTTAGGTAACAATGACTGCTCTGGTCGTACTTTGGCACCAAAATAACGAAACTTGGAGCTCTCCCAAACTAGGTGTGGGAAGATGAGACTCAGAACACTTTGAATGCATAGGACAAATAGTATTTACAACCGACAAATTTCCCTGAAGAAGAATTTAAATTATAGTTGTCAGTGAAAACTCTTGTTTTCGAGTAATGACGACACAAACGAAATAGCCTTCATCGTTAACTTAACAAAATAAATATGGTATCTAATGTCACAATTCAAAGTTCTAAAGTTAGGTATTAAATTACCAATAACAGTTAGGTCCAATGTATCACTGATCTATTTTGCACGTCCATTTACATGACCGTACTAATAACGTACTGATAGTTTATTTAAATAATAATCTTTATTATCATGTCATTTTCCGACTTGGACGAAAGCTGAGAGCGATTTGTAAAGTTAATGTGTGTCGTGACTCGTGAGTGTAACGTTATTAGTTTGTTGTTTCCTACAAAATGACGTTAACAACTTAAAGAAAAAATTAAACTTGAAATGCTTTATCTTTACATGTAAAAATTTTGTGACACGTGTTTGTCCGCGATGGACTCCTAAACTACTAAACCGATTTTAAATTTGATTTGCATTCCGTGTGCATTTTGATCCAACTTGAAAGATAGGATAGCTTACATCCCAATTTATAGTCACAATTTTATTTTGACAAGAAGCAAGCTTAGCAGCAGCAACGCGTGGCTGGGTCTGCTAGTTAGATATAAAATTTTACTTACTTGAAACAAAACTGTTCAAATTTATTACCGATATCCATATGCTATTCCTAATAATTGTAATAGCGACGAGCAAAATAATTCACAATTATCAACTAGAATCAATAATTTTATCATTAAACTTTTAGCCAGTAAGAGACAATTGGCTTACCTTTGCGATATTGCCTGTCATTTTCATAAATTGGTTCACAGCTTCATGTCTATGCAGCAACTACACGTCTGAAGATCTAACTGCAAATGAAAGAATTATGTTGAAGCAATAAAAAATGTCGTCTATTGTTTTCCTTGCTTGACTCATACAGTATTACACATCAGTGTTCTGTATTTCGCATGGGTCTTCCTCTCAGAAGATTAGTAATAAGGAGAAGGAATGAAAACGGAAAGAGTTTAAGACATCTATTTTGATGACAATCTGGTTTAACCTATTTCAAAAATCCCGAGCACGAACCCTGCTGTTGTGGGTTTAGGAATTTCATCCGCGTTACACCATAATTATTCGTTACGTACAACACGGCTCGATGCAGGACGAGGATAGAGCGGTTTAGTCAGTAAGAATCAGACATCGCCTATCGCACCACCAAGGCCGGAGATGTCATTGTATCATTTATCCCCCTCAAAAACGCTACAGTAATGAGTGTCAGTATGACTATTAACCACGTTTATAAAACGAAAATAATGGCGTTTTCCTTAACGAAGTTTTTCCTTGTTATCAACGTGTCTCTATCAATAAATCCCATTTCATTGTAATTACTAACCAAGTACTTATATACTCGTCCGGAAATGCATTTTTTTATTGCACTAGTGTTTTTTTATTTATGTGTGTTACATCATTGTTGTTATATATTTCTTTGAAAGGCATTTCTGGTCGCTCTTAAGGAGTCTGCACTATCATTATTATATCAATGACCCAATGTACTTCATGCCAAAAAATACTTTTTTTATGGAAGGAGGCCAACGAGCAAACTTATCACCTGAGGGTAAGAGATCGCCGCTACCCATGTACACCTGCAACACTAGAGGAGGCACAGGCGCGTTGTCGGCGTTTTAGAAAGAAGTACGCTCGTGTTTTGAAGGTTTTAGGTCGTATTGGTTCAGAAATACCGCCATCGAAAGACCATTCCAAATTTTTATTTGACTGCTAACTATCTATATGATGGGCATGAAAATGTTTTCGCGTGGGTCGATGGTAAAAAGATGCGGCAGGGATCAAACCGAACAATTCCTAAACTTATCGGCGATTATGAATCTATTGTGTTTATTAGCTGGGTCGGTATAGGTATTGCAATAAATTATAAAGATTATTTATGCGCTCGGATATTACCCCTTTTATTATTTTATAACAATGATAGTGGTGGAAGATACTGTGACTGGTTTTAAGTCACTTATTACCTATTTACTTATGGTCGTATCTTTATAGGCCTTTCTGCGTCGATATTACCTTTTATGACATAAATAAAGTACTTGAATAAAACCGAGGAAGTATATATTGGTTTAGCCTCAAGTGCAATGCGGTGTTCTTTTAAATTATCTACATATATTAAGACGCAATTCATGTACATATCTAGTTATTTAGAATGTATAACGACCCCCTTCATGGTCATTTAGACCTCGAAAGTGCAAGTAAACTTTAAGCTTTAAAAAAAGAGTTAATATCAGTAGTGGCAATGAATACATCTAACTTTGTTAGCCAAAACATTTTTTTGTTTACGTTTATTTTATGGAATTTTTTGCGCACTCCGGAGTGTGCAAAAAAGCTGAGTGACGCAAACTTATCGCTTTTACGCTTATAATGCATGACACTACAAAAATTTGAGTGCCCATGATATTAAATAAGTTAGCCTTAGTCATGGCCGTATCTAGAAACAAACAACTAACGCCATCTACAGGACCATTTGAAATTAACGTAAGAGCTGCGCAAACGCCATCTGTGCCGTCTGTGTATAGCGACATCTGGGCATTAAATTCAGTATTATTACGACTAATGCTGGTACTAAATGCTTAAATATTTACGCAATTAATTTACAGATGACGCTATAGACTGAAATTAGGTATAGCCTATGTGATTTATTATAAAATCATAATAGCTTTCTTGACCCGTTTTACGATGTCTAATTAAGTTGCAGTTAACATAACTGATATTATACATATATTTCGACAGAATCCTTAAAAATCAATATAGACTAACAGCTGAAACCTCAGAAACTCACACCTTACACTTATGTACAAGATGATGTTTAACTTCCCAAAAGTCTTTATTATGTACCTACCAGCCATCTCGATCGGTTTCAACCGCTGCTTGGCTCTTACAGATCTTAGGGTATATTTTCGTGGACTAACAAAAATAAAACTAATTGGTCAATTTAAACAAACTCGAGAGCTTTATAATTCTAATACCTATATATTGCAGTAATACGATAGTAATTAATGTTTAAATCGTTTGAGCAAGGTAATCCTAGCAATCATTTTCGAACCCACATAATTGAGTTGCTTGTACAGCAATTGCAAATTGCAATTCTTATTAATAAGTTTTTCGCCGCAAACCGATGGTATTATTAAAATACAAAAAGATAAGCATGCAGCTCTTGCTTCTGACCAGTAATTATTTTGTAAGTTACTGAAGTATTGAACTTGAATTTCAGGTAGCCTTTACCATTTGGGTGCCAAAATATTTTTATTATAAATCATTCTAAATTGGAAATCTCAATATGAACGTTTAGTAGGTCTTCTAAAGAAACGTAGCGTTTGCAATCATTTTATTTCAGAAACTTGATTTTTTCTCGAAAAACAATCAGAATCAAAACAATCCTTAAAAATAAATAAATAGTTTGCTCATTATTTTATTGAGGTAATTTGGGTGTCAATCTTCACCAGTCACTCACTTCAATTTCAGGCTACTGTCACTGAGAACGTAGTTAAAGAAAGAAGGTACTTGAAGCCGGAAAACAGATTCTTATACTTCAATTGCGTTTTCTAAACCAACAAACCAGTACTTAGTTTCTCAAAAAATTAATAAAATAAGTACCTATAAGACTTGTTCCATTTAATTAAAAAGTTCAAATTCTTGTACAAAATATAAAATCGCGATCTTTCTATTTAAAATAAATAAAATCATCTTACGAATGGAATGTTGCTAAGCGTGGGAAGTCATACATGGAGAGTAGTTAAATTAATTGAACTCTTCATGGATGGCGCAGAGTTCTCGTATCATTCGACGGCCTTGCTCCTTGCGCTGATATACGGCGTTATAAAACATACTTTAAGATTAACAAGGTTAACTGAGTGACCACCAAAATCAAGAGCAAAGTGCCTAGTTAGAAAGTCGTAGTATGGTACATTCAATTTCTACAAAAGGATCAAGACATTTTCTCTTTTTCTAATTTATACTATAATTATCTTATTAACGTTTTTCCTTGAAGTAGATCCTCACTACAAATTGAATTGTAATGAAAATAAACAAAAACCTAACTATGCAGCAAAACATATTAAACGTGTCTTGCTTGATCCCTAATTAATAAAAGTCTAATAAAATATCCTGAACTTTCATTGCGATTCTGTTGAATCAATGTTTGAATACATTTGGGTGGAACAAGTGCGGTTGTCGACAGGTAGGGGGCTACAGTTTAAATTTTGTAGCGCCCAACCGGACCGTCCTCGTCCTCGTAGCGCGTGCGCTTGTGGGCGGATGCGCGCGACTCAGTTCATGAGTAGCTGTAGCTGCGTACGCGCAACAAACAAGCCCTCGCCGCTCTTTTTCATTTCGAATTTACCGACTCGACGCTCGTAGTCGAAATCGCGCAACAAAACAGTTACAGTTTATCTACAATTTAAATATTACAATCACGTGTTAAATATGGACTTGTTTATAAAAAAATATTTTTATGAAAAATAAAGTGAATTTTATAGTATAAAAAACAACATTGGCAAAAAATGTGTGATTCGTATGAAGGTGCGCAAGAGTAAATACAGCGACGGTGGCGGTGGTTGGCGGGAACAATGAGCGCGCCGCTGAATTGGCACAAATGGCTAGTGTTGTCGCTGCTCGGATTGGCTTTGTCCGCTCGCACAATTGGCTGCGATTACAGTTCCATCACCGAGAAATTTGGAGCGGAAGCCGTGGCTCGATGCAATGAAAAATGTCCTTTCCAGGTTAGCTAAACTCCTTTTCTGGAAATCTCAAAACCTCTCTATTACGAACAATATTGTTTCTAGACATTATTATCTGATCCACTAGAATGTTTAGATGGCATAAACATAATGTTATATTATGCACGTTCCGCTTTATGCGTTCATTGATAAAGACTGCAATTAATAGTTTATTGGTTGGGGATATAATGATGATCTTAGTTTATTATATAGTTTATTTGCGGCGACTGCCGAGCAGGTTCAACGCACATCTAAGTAATTGTCGACAATTAGCGAACCACTATAATCAACGCAAACGCGCTAAATATAGATCAGCGTTAGCAAACGTCAAGCGAGTCACTTGTTGCTGGATAAGCCTTATTTATTACACATATTACATCAATTAACAAAATAAATAAAGTTATTTATTATTTATTCCCCTCATTGCCGTGGTATATAGACTTTATAGTTAATCAGTCAGACAGGTATGTTTACAGACCGCAACTCTTATATTATTATCAAATATTATTTTTATTTAAAATTTATGTACAATACATCTGTATCCATGTAAATACATATGTATCTCCCTTTCATAATGTGACTATGGATATTTCCTAATCAAATTTTATGTTGTTAATGCTCTAAGTACCTAATTACAGAAATATAAAAGAGACGTATTCGCAAAAAAAAAGTATTCTCAATTATATTTATTCTCTTAGTTTGGAGTTAATCTTACTGATTGTATCTATTTGTATAGGTTTGTTTTATCATAATTACATATAAAACACAATATATGGAGTAGGATCATATGTATTTTGGATATAAAGCACAAATACAGACAGCCCTTTAAGTTATATAATTGACTAGCTACTCCCGCGCGGTTTCAGTCGCTCCTCGGCTCTATTTGATCGTAGCGTGATGTTTTATAGCCTATCGCACTCGGGAACTTTGTAGCTGTCAATAAGTGAAAGAATTTTGGGAATCCGACCAGTAGTTTCAAAGATTACCCCCTACATACAAACTTACAAATTGTACCTCTTTATAATATTAGTATAGATCTAGGATTTGCACTTCAGTGAAGGTGAATAATTCGGGGCAGATTTGGCATTACCGGTGAGGGTAGGATCGTATGTTGCTCCTCATGGGAAAAAACCAAAACACGAAAACCGCGGATGGATCACATTTCAGAATGTGAAGCCTTTGAGGTGTCCCCAACAAAGTCCGGTCCCACGCGTGGGACCACACCAGCCACGGTTGCAAAAAATTAAATAGATATAGTACAAGTTACATTACACCCTTTTGAAATTAGTTGGTTTATGAAACGCACAAAATCTCCTCAAATTGAAAGTGTGTGATCCTCAAATTGTGGTTCCGGGTCTGGATTTGGTGTGTATGCGAAATTGTATGTTTGTAAACGCACCCACTGCACAGGAGAAAATCTAAGGGTTGGGCAAAGTTTTTTTTAATTCGCGTGTAATTGTAAGTTATTCAAAGAGGTATACATATGCTTAATAGGTAAGTAGTCTTGAGGCTGAATAAGTTAAAAAAGGGAAAAAATAAATATACAATAAAATACAGGAACTTCTTGCATTCTAGTCGGAAGACCTAACTGCCAGCTAACAAAAATACTAACGTCTAATTATAAGTTGGGCCTTATCTATTATATTTTTTATAATGATATAAAACAGATCAATCTCACCTGAATAGCGGGCACAGGTAGGACTAATGACTATCACGCTCGGTTGCACTCGCACCGACCGCATCGTAACGGAAGTTATCAGGACTGTGACTTCGTCGTACATCCCGTGATGACCCTATTAAATAAAATAACTATACATTTTTTATCAAATTAATGCATATTTTTTATGTTCACAGAACCGAACCGGTAATGACCACTTTGACGTGAGTTGCGGATCTGATTGCAGTTTGCAACAGGTAAGTCCTTTAAACCGTTACGGGATAAATCACAACTTCATCAAACTTCAAAAACAGCTATAAGTTGGTGTACATTTGCTTCAGCATTATACATTTACGGCTTACGGTATCATTTGACCCGAGCAGAGCTCACAACATTTTGTAGGTTGTGTGTATATTACTACTATAAAAGTAAAATCAAACAAAAACGTAAAAACATAGATAGACATTTCTCCCAAACTATTACAATACATATTGTTTTATTTATTTTTTATTTATTGCGGGACAAGCGCTATAAGTTGCCACGGCCTTGGCCTGGAGCAGGAGAAAGAACGGGGAGATTTTAGTGAGAAAGCATCTGACAATCCTCTTGCTTCACCATGGGCGAGAGAAATAATTTGATATATTTCCCCTCACAAAAAATGGTGATAAGGATTAAAATAGTTTGATTGCTTTACATCACATCATCAGCCTTTAAACGCCACTGCTGAGCAATGAGCAAAGGCTTGCTCAAGGCGGATTGGCGACGTTCAAACTTATAATTAGAAATTATAAGTCCAGGTTTTCTCACGATGTTTTTTTTCTCCTTATGTCGGTATATAGAAAGTAACTAGGAAAATGTCACATTTGTACTTGCCAGGTTACGAACCTGCGCGGTCGCCTTAACCTCTGGGCCACCAGCCACCAAGACAGTTTTAATACTTATCACTTGTAATTATGTAATTTTTGTACGATGTTGTTTACCACCCACATATTTAATTGTTTAACTTTGTAACGCTTCAAAACTGATCGGCAATAACTACGCAAACGATCGTAAAATTTAGTGATCCGATAAGTAACTTTGTTTATACTACAAGCATTTATGTACTCTTTGTATTGGGTAACCCAGTTTTTATGGCTACGCAACGGAAATTATGATGGTCTCCGATTTAAAATGATATTTGCTGCTATTATTCTCTTTTGTTGAGGGTCTTTTGGGTTAACGTCACCGCAGTCAAAATATAAAAATAATTTACAATAAGTTTATAATTACTATACGATAACTAAATCACAGTTTCACCCATAACCTCTCTGAGATATAAGGTATTTAATGAATACTGGTTCCAAAACACAGATAAGTTACACATTAAGATTATATTTTTTACAACGTAACACTTTTGGAGCAGTTATAGTTACTTAGTATAAGATACTACAGCTGTTATGCCGCAACCTAAACTGAAAAGAGATGAACATTACAAAAGAGCATTTGTTAACTAAATCCCATTGAAGCTAGCTAGACCGTGTCTATGGACAAAACAAGTTCGTGCGCACTATCCTAGTTCTTTTGTTGCTAAATAATTTAAATGACGTATTTAATGTAGAGACTACCACCTCAATTTAGCTTGAATGGTGTAATTAAAATCTAACTTCAGCAAAGCAAACCTATCTTTTTTATTTATTTAATTACTTAATATATTATACATATTTATTTAATATACATTTACCTTAATAATAAGTATTTTTTGCCATTATTTCATTTATACATATTTCAATACATAAGAATACAGATTCTAAGTATTTGTTTTACTCGTAAAATAAGTAATGTAGTTTCGGAAAACCTATCCATCACAAAATGTAACAAAACTGACATAAAACGGTCTACACTTTTGTGACCATGACAGTTACTACTGGTTTATGTCAAAATTATCAGTTATGTCCAATTTACGCCCCTGCGCATCGCAAAAAATGTTCAAGTGGAGGCGGGCGGGTAGAACTTGCAAGCCGACGAACGAAGTCAGTCAATTGACTTGCTTCCATGTTATTATTATTTGTTACCATTCCAATAACTATCCTCGAGTAACTTATGACAGTTATTATAGATACAATAATAATATAAACACTTAGTTAACGACTCTATTATGCAGACATAACCTTAGTTTATCTGTACACGTGGATTTTCTAGTCTTACCAGTTTGATTCCTGAAATAAAATAATGTAAAATTTTATAGGTGAATTGGGAGAGCTATTGTTAAGTTGTTCCTGCTAATGTTAAATCTATAGGAATGAGTGGATCACAAGTATCTGAACACAACGCCGTTGAATGAACTGCAAAGCTTTGCTTAACATCTTTCATCAAGTCGTAAGGTGTGGCAGTCAGAACGCATCGCCCTTTCCCTTGCTTACATCTAAACAATCTAATTTCTTCTTCCTTTACATTACAGACAAGTTTGCTTACTTTACAAAATGATTACCTGCTCCGAACTTGATCCTTATGTGTTTCGAAAGTATTTCCGTTGCATTTGAAATAAATAAGTATATAGTATTATCTATTCAATTATATTGTCTAGCTGTCGATCTGCTACTAAAAACATAGATTGTAAAATTGTCTTAATTATGCATTTGAGTACTCTAGAACTATGTAGGACATGTTAATACATATAAGGATATATAATGAACAATCGTATCGAGACCGGCGGTGCACTAGACGAAGACATGTCGTGGTAAATTGTAGGTATACTATGAACACCGATTGATTGTTTCTGACTGTTACAAATTCAATGTAATATTTAACAATTCTCATACATATCAGAAACTCATGAGGATGTTTGTAGCCATGTTGTGGTTGTTTTTTAGCTTAGCTTCAAGTGGGGTCAATCTCAATTTGATTAACGTAAATCTTCATCCTGCAAGGGATGTAGTTATGGAGTGTTACGTGGTCAGTGGCATGGTGCGGCAGTTGAGCTGCGCATGCGCAAGGGTCGCGTGAGACTCGACGCCGGATGGACGCAGGAAGGAAGCTTCTAGTTGCCAGCCTGCTCCCCTCGGATCTATTTTAGAGTTCATTCGTTTTGTTCTATCATTTACTGAATTTTCAAATAAGTTAATAAAAAATTCCATGACTGGATTCTACTGATGATTACCACCTACCTATAGAGCACGAAATAGTTTTGCAATATTCTAATTCTACCCCTGTAAATTTAGATCCCTGTCTGCCTTTCTTTTTGAATTTAGTATGAACTTAAGTAGGTGACTTAAGACGATTATAGGTATATATGTATTGACATGAATTTAACGGCTTATTTTCCGATTAAAATAAGTCAATAACAAGAATACCTTGAAAAATATTATCATGAGAGATTTTATAATAAAGAGAAGTGAACCGTAAAGTGGCTAACGTGTGTCCATTGAATTTGAGTAGTAAGGGAATTCAGTGCCCCTCCGCGGTTCGGTGCGTAGCATTGCGTTCGGAAATGAACAATTACCTATCGGAAGTCAGGTAAAACTTGCGAATAGGTACTTTATAATTTATGTGTGAACTGTTCTGATATTTATTTAACGTCTCTGTCATATTACAAGTTGTTGATATTATTCATTTGACTTTTAAACAGGATTAAAGTAGCCTGGTTGATAATATCTCACGTTAAATCGAATTGAAGTCAGTAGTACATACGTGTGTTTTAAGTTTAGCTTAGGAATAAAATAATAATTATAAGCAATGATGATAATTAAGGTTGTAATCAATCTTGAATGTAAAGGAAATTATAAGATTATCTTTGACCTATCTGCGACGTAACCGTCCCTTTTGACGTAGGGCGTTAGGACGTCACTCAATATACCAGTCAATGCGTGAAATAATCATACGTAACTTGCATACAGGTCAATTAAGATTATCGTTGGAAAATGTCTAGGAATCCTCTGTTAGATAACTTCTCATGTCATAAGACTATGCCATACACTATGCCACAAAATATTCCAATTATTACAATTTCTTTATAGCAATAATAACTTTAAATTATTCCCAAATCGGTGGTAAGCACAGGTAAACAAATGTGACCGCATTCAACGTCAGGTGCATTCATGAATATTCTGAATATTTTAATATAATTGTGGGAAATTGTGAAATTAAACTGAACCACGGTTTTGGTGTTCGTTAATTTAGTCATGGGGGAAATAATTTGAAAGTCAGTTCATTATTTAAGTTAGTCAAGACCTCCATGCAGTTATTCATTAAAATACGAAGTCACGTTCGACTTTAATGCACAAATTCATGTCTTCGTATGAATTCCCATAAGAACTTTCTTGTAACACACACAAAGTACTCATATCATGAAAGCAACAATTAAGCGATTCATTGTAATAAGTGCAATATGAAGTCGAGTCGGCCCTTCAATTAGCTAATAAACGCTGATTATGTTTGTTTAGTACTGGTTTTTTTCTCTTTGTTTAGGCTTATGTACACTTTCATATTTAGATGCATGTATGATGTAGACAGTGAACTCGAGATTGTTAAAAGCCATAAGTAAGGCATGCTATCAATTAAATGTAACAAAGACCTTGCAGCTTTAAGTCACCAAGATGCTAATTTTAGCAACACTTAACATTGTCCTAATTCAATTGTTATTTTCGCTATTCGACCTGCGGAATTCTAGCACTATCTTAGGACAGACTGTCTAGAGTTTAATTGAAAGCCAGACGGTTTAATTTCTTAACACAGGGCTACAAACTATATATTTCTTTATGACGACTAAAGCACACAACGCATACACAGAAATATTGAACGTGGAGCTAAAACTGTTACCACTTTATTGCAAAATTCATTGCATATTAAATTTTGTATTCATTGTAAATTCAAATAGTATAATATTTGTTTTTATTTACCTATATTTAGGTATCATGTTTTTATTTATAACAAACTTAACCGATTACATTAAATAATTTGTCTGTCTTGTCTAGCTGTTACTTGAGCCTTTGGTTTCGGCGAATATTTTATAGCTAATAATAAATATAATAGCCAAAAAATAATAGATAAAATCAGAATTGACACAATATAATCTTATAAAGAAACGCTGGAGTTATGATAAAGAACTGCACTCGCGTCGTCGTCGCCCGCTAATTCTTATTTCCTCATTAGGTGAACGGTTCCCCGCTTGCGAGTTGCGCTTGCGCTCATTCAACAAGTCGCCTCGCCTCCCCTCTACGCCATTATCCCCCGACTGCCCCTTCAACACGCTACAATACCAATCTGTTGAGCGAAATTACCTAGAGTGCACTCAGCTTCTGCTAAGTGTTTTGATTTATTGTCCTTTTATTGAACGCCCGTCTTGTCCTCTGGATTATAAAATATATAGAATTTTGCTCAACATTTTATAAGTGATCATATACGTTTTGACCCTGTAACTCAGTAAAATAATTTGGAACAATACGATTATATCACCTAATGTGTATTCGACTGATAAAGGCTAGCAAAGGGGTGGTAGATTGAGAGGAGTGCTCTTGTAGCTAGAGTGTGGCAGAGGCGGCGGGAAGCATGCCGGTGGGCCCCAATTTGCCTCAGCATTATCCAATTGCTAGAATAAAATGGTTGGCGTGGGCTAGCGCGTGACCTGCTCGAATTCTGAGACCTTATAATGCTTACGGGCCCAATGCAAATGATCTATTTTATCTGTATGCAGTACTGAAGTCTATTTAGGTTAAGTAGAACGATAATTTATTATAATTTATGCTTATCTACAGAAATTATGTACACTATTTCATCCAGTCTTTACAGAACAGGCTGTTCGCAACTAGGTTAAATCCCAAAATAAAAAGAGACATTTACATTCTTCAGTTATTCAAGTAGGTGCCGTTCCTGCTTTTTACTTGGCGATAGAAAACGATAAGACAGTGAACTCTATCATTATACCTAATTACGCGATAAATCAACAGCACGGTGGCAAATAGTGATGGTACTTTACTTTATAACCTAGGACGGCTAGAATATTTCCATCATGTCTCTATAGCATAGGTTACACTCAGAATTCTATCAAAGCGATTATATTTTCATGTCATCAGCAGCTGACCAACTCGTGTAGGAATCATTAATCTATGTTGCTAATAAACAATTTGTGAAATAAATGTGGGATACGCTATCTTAGAGTTTATCTCAGGTCAGTAACGTACGGAATTAGAAAAACAGCATGAACGCAAGTTAGTCGCCACTGGCGCCTATTTACAAACCTACAAGATAACTTGAAATTAATTAATTTTAATAAAAATGCAATTGTTTTTATTTTCGCACTATATAGTATCGCACCGGTCGATCCATTAAGTAATCTACGAAGGTCACAGGCCAGATTTTGTTGCCAAGTCAGTATTTTCCTACGTAAATATGTTTTGCCTGTACCTGTATATATTTTTATACTGAATATTAAAATAATGATTACAATTTAGTAACATATAATACAATATACCTACATTCTCATGTGGCTACAATAACTGATTATACGATAATATTAATATCCCACATCGAAAACCAAACCTTCCAGTTGTGTACAGGCTATGTATGAAAGAAAATATCGGATATAAATGATTTATTTACCTTTCCTTTCCAGCAATTCCATTTTTTGCGCGCAGTTCTTTATCGTAAGAATCGTAACTCATCCGATGTTACTGTAACTTGTGCCTCTGTTTTATAATTTGCCCCTATCAAAGTTTTTGTACAGAAACTGGTGCACTGGAAACGGTTAACTGACAAATGGATAGAACAAACTAACCTACGTAAAGAAACTATCGGAAATACTTACATAGACTTGCAAGGACGAAGAGACTTAACTAACATCACATTAATTTTGCATTGGTTCCGTGAACCAAAATATTCGATTGATAAGTAACCTAATTGTAGCGTAATATGAGATCAGACTACCATCTAATAGAGCTAACAAACGCCTTAAAATATAGATCAAAAGTGTGTAGTTTCTGTCGACAGGCGACCTAACGCGCCCACCTGATTAGTCTATCCAATTTAAACTGTCTGTGAGGTACTGTGCACAAACAAAGATAAATCTAGAAGTAGGAGAATACTTTGCTATGCAGCAATTAACAAGTAAATTATCCGTGAGTGCTTTCACAGCGCCCTGCGTCCGGCGTGCGCTTGCGCTCCCAATTGGACTTCCGAGCGCGTTTCCGAAATCGCTCCAACAATGAACTGACGCGACAATTTTAATGACTGTAAAGGGAGTAGTTATTGTTTTGTTATTATTACGGCACGAGACAGGAAACTCGGTAATTAGGAGTTAATTTACTTTGTCCCGTTATTAGTTTTATTTAACTTTCTCGTCTTGTTGTGCATGCATTTGAGATGCGTCTTTACATCCCTATTCATGTCCATTTTAAGGGAATAAATATTAAAGCATTTAAACAGATATACAATTGTGTAGAAACGCCTGAATATAGAGGTCTGGAAATGTGATCGCTGTAAGTACTATTGTGTTATGTTATAATCGAATTTTATGCTACAAGGCATTTTTCCATATAGACACGTTATAGGTACTCTTTTTGACGGATGACTATAAATCATTTTCGGTTAGTTATATAAGGAGTACTGAAAAATAGTAATAGTAATAAGTATAAAGGGCACATTGAAGATTTAAAAAAAATGTTGGCCATCGTTTTGTTACGTTGCGTTTAAAAGGAACGACATTGAATCGAAGCTTGGCTTTGCCTTGCATTTATTAGAGCAATAACAACTTTTAATAAAAACTGACAACTAGCAATAGCAACTATCTGATAAACATGTCCAAAAACGAGTTCATCCGTCTGTCACAAATATTAATAAATTGGACACGGAGGGTGCATTTGGGCGTGGTGTTGTGACAACTATGATATGGCGGAAGAGACGTGTTAGCAAGGGATAACTTTGTACTTGGACCAATAATTTAGGTACTCTAACATTTCTAAACAATGAAAACATGAATATGCATTTTATTGAACTTTGTGCTCGTGTGTTATCTTTAAAATTGACGCCACATGCTTCTTGTTATTTAGTATACAAAATTTGTTTCAATTATTTTGTACTTAATTGTATTATCTGCTGTCATTGTACTCTCTCCATTATGATTCAAAAAATGTGAACATCTTTCAAGTTTACCAGATATAAAATTAAAACATAAAACAAGTGTCCTATATATGGACGTATTAATCCGTCTCATGGTTGTGCGTGCGCAGGCCGCGACCCGCAATAATTATACAGCCGAAACAAACGGCACAGATCGCGTCCCGTGCCGGTCCTGTGCATCCGTTTTAATTGTTACGCGTATTGTTCATCACACTGAATGGACATGACTCAAATGAGATACGTCTGCGTCACATTTTGTTACTACTATTTAACGAACTGTGTGTGAATATGAAGCAAAATCTGCTCTAACGTACTGCCAAAAAACAGTCGACTACACAATGTCTCCGATATATCTGTTAGTAATTGATTTTATAGATAGACAATTTGATTAAAGAAATTAAAAATTAAAGTACCCCCTCTACCCCCCTGCCTCCTCCTTAGCTTAGTTTAATAATTTGGATAGCTTTATTTTGTTAACCATTGTTACTGTATATCACATGGATGATGTTTGTTTTAATTAAAACTCATCTTTAAGTAAAGTGTAAGGTAGTGGCACCTGCGGCTTCCGGTCACTACCGATCCGTAAAGGACGTTGTCGAACCGTGAAAATTCGTTACGACTTACGAGTCCTGTTGTTCTTTTTTATACTTTCTTCATCCGTGGGAACGAATGTGTCCGTTACAAGATTGCATAAGTTTAGTTTCACTTTCTTTTTACGTTTTGTTTACAATAAATCACGAAACGAAGCAACAGCGAAACGCCTGTTTGCACTTGAAACGTGTCTCGAAAGAGTCTGCATTTCGATGTCTGTTTATGTTAGTGATTGAACGAGCTTGAACACTCTTACACGTGTGAATGTGTGACTTATAAACACTTCCACAATTTCCTTTTACCCACCAATGGTTAACATCTATTTACAACCAATTAATTTGATTATTGTGGTGATGATGTTGTAGTGGCCCGGAGGTTAAGGAGCCTGCTTATCATGCATGAGGGTGGTGTGTGAGAGAGGGGTGTGGGTTCGAAACCTGGCAAGTACCAATGTGACTTTTTGCGAGTTATATTGTACTTTCTATAATTATTTAGACACCACTGACATACGGTGAAGGTAAACATCGTGAGGAAACCTGGACTTATAATTTCTAATTATAAGTTTGAAATCGCCAACCCGCATTGAGCATGCGTGGTGATTAATGCTCTAACCTTCTCCGTGTGAGAAGAGGCCTTTACTCAGCAGTGGGCACTTATAGGCTGATGATATTGTACTTGATCTTGCACTTAAGATTAAGTTGCAAGTCGAAGCCCGGAGGTTTTTCTCAATAAAATAGATTAAAAACAAATTAAAATATTAACATAAACAATGCAAGTAATGTGGACATTTCATTGGATTAAAACCCGCACCACTAATTATATGACAACACAAGTCATGTTCCTAATAAGGAAGCTCTTAGTTACAAGTCGAGGTAATTCCTTAATTGTGTTATCATAGAGAAAAATAAACTTAGCGATGAAAATATATGGGGTGTGATGTAAACTAAGCATAGCTAAGTATTTATTTTTCTATTGCTTCTCGGTTTGTCATAACAGGTCACATGGGAGTTCTCATTCCCATTATTAATTATATGTATATCTAACTTCATGTTTGCAAATAGGATTATACCGAATGGGTTTTCATATATTTCGCTTAGTTGCTTGATTAATAGTGTTGTTATCAAACAAATATATTATTTTGTCACTATCGCTTTGCATATTTTAAAGTAAATAATAGCAAATACAATTTGTTGTTCTAGTGCAAACTTGGGTGTAGCTTATGGCAAGAAGGATTGGAAAATTCATGTCAAATCGTTTGCGTAAGTAATCACAATCACAGTACTGAGTACATCATCATATTTACAAGTACGATGTAGCTAACATGTTAATTAATTTCAGAATGTCACATCAGAAACTGTATTTTCTCGGGAACTCTACTGTGTTATGGGATGTAACGAGGCTTTGAATACTTATTTCCAAAAATTAAGAGGTAATGATTACACTGAAACATCTAATAATATTTTACGCGTGAATTAACGATTCACTTCCTTTAAATTCATGATTCATTTTTGATGACCAATTTTAATTTGCAGAATTGATCGGGATACCAACTGCACCAGCTTTAGTGGCAGACAGCTTGACAGCCACGTCACTGTCCCTAGTATGGGAAGCGCCGAATTTGGGTAACTTAAGCTACATGGTACAATGGCGTTACGAAGAACTGCCCGGAACGTGGCAATACTACTCTAACTCTAGTCATTCGGATCAGTCCATAATACACGTGGACGGTTTAAGGCCATACACTAAATATAGGGTAAGAGGTTTATTATACTGAATCATTACATAGTTTAAAACAAAACAGCTTTTTCTGTCCCATTGACGCTTAAATCTTTAAACCTACGCAATGGATTTTGATGCGGTTCTTTTAAAAGATGGTGTGATTGAAAATAAAGGTTTATATGTATAATAAAATGCATCAAATAGTGGAGAAATTTAGTATCGGCATTGCACCCGTGCGAAGCTGGTCGGGTCATTATATAGTTCCTATATACTGCATCCTGCATATATAAAATTCTCAACTAACATTTGTTACACATCATTTTGTAACATTACTGAAACATCATTTTGTCTAAATCTAAATCTTAATATTTATTTTACCAGTTTCGGGTGGCCATATTCTTATCTGGTCGAGGTGGTACAGGAGAACCAGTATACTCTGCGCCATCAGTAGTAATATCTACTTTAGAAAGTGGTAAACCTAGTTCAGCACCCACGTCACTACGCGCCGCAGCCCCGGACCCCAGTCGAGTGGCAATTTCATGGGAGCCCGGCCCATTCCCAAATGGTCCACTGATATCATACGTACTGAGACTAGCAGATACACAGCCGAACACCAATGATGCACTTGAGGTAACTACATTTCTATCTCATACAGATGATATTTAAATTCCGGAAGAAACACCTTCAAGTATTTTTATGTTTTTAGGACATGCCAGCATCGAACAAGACTTTATTCTACATGTTCCAAAACTTAGCTCCAGCACGTGAATATGAAGTGTCGGTTGCAATGCGAAACGCAGTGGGCGAAGGGCCGAGAGCTCACGTTAAAATTTCTACACCACCTTTACCTACCTGTAAGTTTTTAGTTTGATGCAGAACTTAATCTCTAAATATTGTCTAAAATAAACGAAAACGTGACAAATTATTTCTTTCAGCCGTTCCTAGTCAACAACCGATTTTAATTTTGGGAGGAGAGCAAAATGTTTTAGCCGCACCTGCTAATGACATGTTATCAGATCCTGTCGAGTTGTACAGCACAGAATATTCCATTGCTGGTATGATATAGCAAATCATCTTTACCTTCGAGATCTTAAATTATTTTAATTAAGTGAAAACACCCAATTTACTTTCTTGCGTTTCAGGTGTCGGGCTAGATATTTCAAGCGACTCTCTTTTCACCTCAGTATCAAACGGTGTTGTATATCGTAGCAGCCTTTCTAAAAAGAGTAATTCAGAGCCAATACTGACCCCCAACAATTACAAGCCTCAAGACTTATCAGTAGACTGGCTAAATCGTCACTTGTATGTGCTTGGCGAGGTACACCACAGAGCAGCATATGGATCAAATAGTACGTTTACTGCAAATTGGGAAATTTTACGATGTAATTTCGATGGCAAGAACATAATCACTGCAATATCTGGTTTTAATTCTCGACCGATACATTTCGAAGTTGATGCTTACAACGGGTAGGTTTTCCCTAAAACATTCCAAAATATAAAGTTTCTGTAGTGTGATTCCATTATTTCATCCTATTCTTATTCATTTCAGTTATTTATTCTGGGCTCAACAAGGAGGTGATCGCGGCGGTCTTTATAGATTAGATTTGGCGAATATTTCAAATGGTGTTCACCCTGATGCTGGTCCAGAAATTATAGTCCGTGATGCGCACCTTGGAGCTTTTACCGTAGATCATGCAGATTTTAGAATCCTTGTCGCGCACCTAAGAAAGAACACGGTATTAGCTGTGTCGCTTGATGGGTGAGTACAATAAAATCTATTATAATAATCGAAGGTAAGGATAATTTCTCACTAATCTCATGAAATATCTTCCATTTGTGCAGACGAGAAGTCACCGATTTCCGAGCCAACACACAAACTCCAATGTTCCTATCAACACGTTCTATAGCTTACGCCGGCGGCCTTTTCTATTGGACAAATGGCAAAGAAATGCTGACAGAAGAATATCATGCACAAAGTGACAGTTACTTTCACAACGAATACCCTTTAGCTTATAACACCAAGACAATAGCAACGAGACAAGTTTTGGTCGCTTTGAGAAGTTGTCAACCGATCCCTGTGCCCGTAAACCCACCGTTGGGTTTGCAAAGTGTGATGGGCATCAATCGTGCGAAAGTTTCGTGGTCACCTCCCCATCTTTTGGGTCATCAGGGCAGCGGTGCCTGGCAACAGTGGACTTTCCATCTCCAACTTACGCATGTCGATACTGGCGATGTCATTGATATGTAAGTATGCACTTATGTAATCAGTCAATTGCAGTGATTCTTTAGAACACGTTCTCATATATGCTTCTTTTTTAGTATGAATATAACCGAGTCAACGTGTGTCGTCGAAAACTTGAAGCAAGACGCAGAATATGTTATAAGAGTGGCCGCTGTAACTGAATCTGGTTCAGGTATAATATATAAAATTGTACTCAAAACACTTAATCACATGTCAGTGTTTTTTCTATGCAAATTTTTATTAAAACGCTATTTAATTTTTACAGGCCCATGGTCTTCAGAATTTGTAGGTAAAACTCTAGCGTCGTCGCCGAACACACTACATAGCACGTTATTGTGGTCTGGACCGGATGGACTTTTACAAACTGATCTTACAGGAGACAATCTACAAATACTAATTCATAGGTCTGCCTATATTATGCTTAATGTATGATTTGTTAATGTAATTTTGTCTTTTATTTTTACATATAATTTTAATTTCAGAGGACTTTTAAAAAACCTCCATATCACCGACATTTCCTGGTATCGTGACTTGCTGTACTTGGTCACGAATGCTTCTACAGTAATGTGGTATAACACCACAACGCACAAAAGAGGCTTGATGTCTAACATGGATAATGTTGGTAGCTTAGCAGTGGATTGGGTGGGCAAGAAAATTTACTGGTCTAATCCGAAGCAGCAATTGGTATGTAATAAACTATAGAAGAAAATTGAATTTATAGGAAATTAGTATATAGTTAAGTTTTGTTGTATCTTTTGTCTATAGATAACACGAGGCAATTTAGACGGTGGGAATCGGGAGCCAGTACCGATTGTTACCGTTGCTAAAGAGCTTACAATAGACTCGTTAGGCGCATACATATACTGGAACACGGGACACGCAGTTGAAGCGGCAAGACTTAATGGAGAGAATAAGATGATATACTATCCAGCTCAACTATTTAGTGGGAAGCAAGGTAACAAACGTTTTTGAAACTAAATCCCTTGGATTTATTGGAATACAATATTAACTTTAACATTGTTGTTTCAGTAATGGGACTAACGGCGGATTTAGAAGAGAAATGGCTTTATTGGCTAGTTCGAAGTTATGATGGATCTGAACTCCATCGTGCTCCAACTGCCGACCAGATTACCCATGGAATTAGTGAGGTGTGCCTCTCATTTCATTTTCTGTAATTGTTTGCACAATGTTAGATTGATTTATCTAGGTCGCTAATATTATAGGTTAACCACAGGTGAAATAAATCTTATAGAATTAAACATTTTAACTTACATTTGTTTTCTTCAAAGGTGTCCGGATCACTTGTGACCCGTTTATCCGGCACGGCGACTTTGGGTCCTCTATGCTACTTCAGCGGCCGACTAGTGTGGGTGCAGGATGCGTCGAGGGCCGTTGTGTCGGATCTGGCTGGCAGATACACTGCAGATCTGGTACCACGAGTTCACGTCATTGCAGTCAGAGACCCAACCCTACATGCAAACAGTGGTAATTAATAAATAGAATCATAATGGAACTCATTACTGAAACCAAACTTACCTATTCAGTTGCACTCAAAGCATCAATGTGTATTACGATGTGGCAGAACCTGCACATAAATAAATTGTTAAGAAAGTCAGTGTATGTTATGTCAAGATTCTTTTTTTTACTTTTTCAGAATCATTAATAGCAATTCCGGAGACAATAAATCCATCGTCCATAACCGTGGCGGGCGAGTGGGATAGGTTCAACGTTACATGGGATCCAGCTACACGTGTCAATGTTAACAATAGCAAAGTTTATTACGACGTCAGCTTGCACTTTCCTGGGCAGTATAAAATTGAAGTAAGAGTTTATGAATATTATTGGAAGATAGCATTTTCAAATTAAGACATCACATATTAAAATTTTACGTTGTATCTTACTACTAGCTAATCTCACGCGGTTGCACCCGCTGCTCAGCTCATAAAGATCATATGATGTATAGCCTAAAGCCTTCTTTGATAAATCGTTCAATTCGAACCAGTACTTCCGGAGATTAGCGCGTCAAACAAACTCTTCAGCTTTATAATATTAGTATAGATTTGCTTTGTGTAATCTGTGCCCCGTGTCATTTAATTACATTGTTACACAGAAAACAGTGGAGGAGTCGTGGCTGGAGGTGGTGTCAGTGTCGGTGGCGCCGTACAGCAGTATGGAGGCTACAGTGCGGGCGCACACGCACTGGGGCGGGGGGCCCGCCGCGCGCGCCGCGCTGCGCTCGCCGCAAGCGCCGCCCTCCGCCCCGCGCGCGCCGCGCATCTACGTGCAACCTGCAATAAGGTTACTAATCTATTGCCCATTCGACAATATTATTATTGTTTGTTAGCCTGTGATGATAGCCTCCAACCTTCTCTAAGTAGGTTGTAGGGGGGGTTGTAGATTCAGTCGCTCCATATAAGATATAATATCTATGAATCTTAGTGCTAATTCCAAAAAGAAACGCTGCTCAGCACTGCAGCTGAAAAAATAAATGTTTGTCTTAACCTATATTTTTATACATTTCATTTTTCGTTGGCAGTGGTGGACCTCAATCTGCAATATTCCGCTGGGGCAGTCCGGCCCGCGCTAATGGTGTGATACGAGGTTATGAAGCGCAATGCTGGGTAGTGGGCGCGGACTCTAGTTCTCCCACTAAGCCTTCCGCCTGCGCCGACGCCCACCTATCGCCCTCACACACACAACTCATGCTGAGAAACCTGACGCCTGCTTCTAAATACTTCTTTCAGGTAAACATCGTTCCCCAAAATAAAATCAATATTACATTTGACTTCACACTGCTATCTAAACAAATAATTGTACGTTTTTTAGGTTCGAGCTCATACCGATGCTGGATATGGTCAGTATTCCGAAGTGGTATCTGCATCATCCGATGATGTAAACCCGATCCCAAAGGTCATGGTCTCGTCCCAAGAGTCTATAAAAATTATAGATCTCGACTCCGGTGAAAGTGAAACAATCCCTAAAAGTACGGGAATCCCTGTGGACTTCGCTGTGTCTACTGAAGAAAACATCGTTTACTGGGTCAACAACTTAGAAGAAATATTTTCCGCAAGAATCAACGGTAGCGGACATTTTAAGGTATTTTTTTATTGGCATATTATTTTATTTAGACGTATTTTACTCAGAAGCGTATTTACAGTTTTCTTTTATACTTATTTCATATTTATATTACTCAATAGCTCACTTCGATCAATGGATCAGCGAGCAGTATGTGTGTGGACTGGGTGAGCAGGTCAGTTTACTGGACTCAACTGGAAATCACATCCGTCGAATCATATGTTACATACCGAGCTGATCTGGGTATGCCCAATACTCGACCTCACATCACGAGAGTTTTTGCCAGAAAACAACCGATTTATAGCTTGCAAATAGCTCCTTTGCATCGGTAAGTACTACCACTTCCTTAATAATTATATTTTGTTCTAACATGTTGACTAAGTCAAAACCTCTTAACTGCTCTTCAGGACATTGTTCTGGTATGAAGAAATTGGCCATCCAGGGCTCGGTACAATAATGACATCCCACTTAAATGGCTCCGACATCAAACCCTTCTTCAGAAATTCTGAAACGTCAGGGCGTGAATGTAACTGCCCGGAAAACCCACAAGTGGCGAAAGCTTTCGTAATCGATATGACTAGAAGTAAGAATTATGACTTGTATTGGGTCGATCCTTGGCTACATCACATCATCGCTACAGACATGGATGCTTGTAAATGCAGAGTAGTTGTTGATGCAACTGAAAAGAAAAAATACGGATTTACACCAATGTCTATCACAGTTGATAGCAGATATGTCTACTGGTTTAATTCTACACAAAAAGAAATATTTTACACGACAAAACATCACAAGACAAGAATCGAAGAAAGGAAGACCGCATATGGATACAAGATCATGGCGTTGGATTCCGGTAATCAGCCTTACCCACCGAGATTGTGTTTGTTTCCTAAAATACTGATGCTAAGACCGAAACTTATTTCGAATTCGGCAAACAGCATAACATTACATATGCCTTATGTGGAGAAGCCGAACCGATGTCACTCTTTGGAGTATGAAATGTCGACGACAGAATATACAATATTTTACAGAATACAGCTACGAAACGACACTTCACTTTGTGATAAAGAATCGTGTTCGTTCGTCACTACTACGAACACCAAAGTAGTGATTAATGATCTTAAACCGTTTACTAACTACACAGTCATGTTAGAAGCTACTAATTACTACGCGAAATTACACGAGGTGAAGCCACTTGTCGGTACTCCTATGATCATACAGACGGCCGCTGAAGGTAAGACATGATTCGAGATTTTCTTAAAGAAATGTTATAACTAGAACAGGTAAAATATATCCCAACATTATTTATTCCAGCCCCAACAGCTCCTAAGGATGTGACGGGAATGGTGTTAAGTCCAGTACTAGCGTACGTAGAATGGAAGCCTGACCCCGGTCTATCGTATGAAGTTCATTGGAGAACTGATGACTCTTCTTCATTGGCACATAAGCTAATAAAGGGTAAGTACTCAATCGATCTTTAGTTTTTACGAATTAGTCTACGGTTAACCGTTAACATTTGTTTTTAAACTGGTAATACTCAAATATAATTTGACCAACTCGAGACCTCGTTCATAATATGAAGATGATGAAGAAAATATGAAGGCTGCTGATTTTCTGGTCGTTAGATGATGCATAACAATACGAACATAATATCTCGATTTTGTTTGCTTCTTGCGCCTACTGTTAGCTCAACGTCACCTAAAGTTTCGACTGGCAGTGAATGCCTGTAGCATTAAGTCCACCTTGTACACAGATGATTGTGCAAAAGTTTAAGTAAAATAAAACGTATAGTTCGTTCCATAATTAGAGACAACGATTTGACATTTCGAGTGTTGCATGTTTTTTCCATTTCATAAATAGTGAAGTCCCGCAACCGGTATTAACCGAAAGACCGACTTTCGGTTAATACCGGTCAAAATCATTTGTAAAACTATTAACTATTAGCATTGATATGATATAATTATTTTACAAGAAACTATGGTCAGCTTTGGCATTTCCTCACAGCAATTTGACAGATGGAGTGTCAAACATAATTTAAGCCTAGAAATACGTTGGTATTGGTTTCTATAATTATAAAAATAATTTCTGTCAGCCAGATTGTAATATCGCTCCCATCCGACCTCTGATCTCTTCTATATTGCTCTGAGTTCATTTATATGTGGTAATCGTCAAGTCCTTTTTTAGCTTCATATATTAATAACTAGATACCATTATACTATAAAAACATATCCGCAACATTTTTTGTTTTGGTCAGGGTAATTTATAAAAAAATCGCTATCGGTATTTTAAAACATCGTACTCGGGTCCATCACTATGTTAAAAAATCTGGCCACATTATTTTGTAGTTTGACATTTGCAGTTGTCAAATTGTTCTCTAATTATGGAATGAACTATCGGTGGTGAGTCTCTTTGTCAAAAAGTTGCGCCTATTTGTTTGACACTTACTATTTCTCAATTGGATAAATAAAAGTCATAGTTTAATATTGAATGTATCCCTCCCTCAGAGCACAACACGTTCGAGGTGTCGTCGGACCGCGCGGCGAACATAACGCGGCTGTCGCCGGGCACGGCGTACGTGGTGTGGGTCCGCGCGCGGTCGCGGCACTCGGCGGTGTGGGCGGACAGCGCGCCGCTGCGCCTGCGCACGTTCCCGCCGCCCGCCGCGCTGGCGCTGCGGGCCACCACCCCCACACACATCCGTCTGCTGTGGCCGCCACCCACCACATACCAACTGCACCAGTAACTATCACCTTCTCTTCTGCAAAGTGCCCACTTCCACCTTCAGCCTATAAATGCCCACTGTTGACCCACATCTCATCTCACTCACACAAGAAAACTAGAAACCCTTTTCTACACACTCTCTCTACAAATCCTTAATATGTCAATAGGTTTAGAGTGGAGTACATGGAAGCGTCGCCGACCAGTTCAACATGGAAACCTTGTACCAGAGACGAGCGTAACGAGTGGGTAGCGACTGATCTTCGGCCTCTGACGCGATACCGATTCCGTCTGCGCTTGCAATACGTCGCCAGCGCACCGCCTTACTACTGGCCGCACGATGACCGCTTTACTTTCGGTACACTTGGTAAGTACATACTAATTAAAACTATAAATATATACGTAGGGAATACGAATGTTGATTTTAAACACTAGGGGGATACATTCATGACCAGTTTTTTTATGTGATAAGTCGGCAAACGAGCAGACGGATTACCTGATGGTGATCTGCTTACCACCAAAACAGTTACGAGTGCGTTGCCGGCCTTTTGGAGTTAAGGGTTGTGGATATTTTAGAATATATTAGAATTGGAAAGGGATAGGAGGGGGATGGATTGGGCATCCGGTAACCTCACTAAAACGGTGAAACACAACGCTGTGGTTCTTTCACGCCTGTTTTCAGCGAGGCCGTGGTATCACTCCGGTCGAGCCGACCCATTCATGCCGAGGCTTGGCTCTCCCATACCAAGTCCCAGTCTGAATAGGACATTTTTCTTTGATTAACAGGTGACGTTCCTGGCGCTCCAGGGCCCTTACGAGTAGAGAGTTTTCGTAATGGAGTATTGCAAGTAAAATGGAATGAACCAGACTCGCGAGGATCGCCAATTTTGTCCTACCGCGTTTGGGGACGACCACAACACAGGTAAATAAAGCTACAATATCAAAACATATGCAGTTACTGATGAATTCTGTACTCCAAATTGCTATTTGTTTCGATCTTCTAGGATAAGTCAAGGAAATGAAAATATCACTAAGAATCTCAGTGAGTTGTTACCTGCAAACCTACCCTCAGATATTGACGACAAGATGAAAATGCGTGTCGTAAGGGAAGGATGGGAGCTACTCCATAATTGTACTGGTAAGTGACTACGCTCGGTTTATTGATCTCATTACAATGAATTTCAGGATTGCTAGTGTATCGATAAGTCTATAGTCTAAAACTACATATTTCGTCAAAAAAAATAGTAGCTCTTATTGACTGAGTCACTTTACTGAATAGAGATGTGTATGTTAAAAGAAGTGATTGTGATGTGTACCATTGTGCAGAAACGTTCTGGCTGCTGAGCTCGGAGGGCGCGGGCGCGGGCGGGGGCGCAGGCGCGGGCGCGGGCGCGGGCTGGGTGGCGCGCGTGCAGGCGCGCAACGCGTACGGCTGGGGCGCGCTGTCGCCCGCTGCCGACCTGGACGCGGCCGCCGCGGCGCCGCAGCGCCCGCCGGCCGCCGCGCTGGCCCTCGCGCTGCTCGCCGCGCTCGCCGCCTTGCTCGCCGTCGCCGCCGCCGTCTTCTACGGTACTGCACACTTATTACACCTCTACCTATCAAACCTAAACTAAACCGTAATGATCTTCCAAACTTCTTTAGTGTTTACAATTAAAAATGGTTCAACTTGATTGCATTACTTAATGAATTGCCTATTAAGTATACCTAATTCAAACGGGGTCGCAGGACAAGCGCAATAAGGCACCGCGAGTTTTAGTCAGTAGGTATATGACACTCCCACCCACCCTGGGCAGGAGAAGTCATGTGATAATCTTTTCTTCACAAAAAAAGTATAACTAATTCCTTAAAACAAATATTAGCAGCATACAACGCCCGAGCTCGGAAGAAAGCAGCCGTTGCGAACCAAATTCCAACTAATCCTGCAAGAAGAGGTCCGGATGTCGAACTTGCAACATTGAGACAATTGCCCACCAGACATTCTACGAATATACTGTACAATCAGGTAAGTTGCTAGTTGACACACAAAGATAAATTACTAAAATATTTAGTAATATTTTACGTTAAATACTAATCATTCTTTTGTAACAAAAATGTCAATATTGAAATTATCATAATAATAATCAATAAAGCATAATAATATATTAAAAGGAGCGATTAACAATTATTTTCATCCCAGGGTGTGCATTGTCCAACGGACGCAGAACTAGCCAGCTTACCCCATATTCGTCGTGAACAGATAACTTTGACCAAGTTTCTGGGTTCTGGTGCTTTTGGAGAAGTATTCGAAGGAGTAGCCAGGCAAATCAATGGTAGTACTGCTGATACAAAAGTAGCTGTTAAGGTAGGTAACCCACTTAACTGTATAACCTGTGTAAAATCGTAGCAACTCTACCAAAAAGAAAAATAAATATTTCTGTTGCTTTACAGACGTTACGCAAGAGTGCAACAGAACAAGAAAAGACTGAATTCCTAAAAGAAGCTGCCTTGATGTCGAATTTCAAGCACGAACATATTCTTCGTCTTTTGGGAGTATGCCTTGATAATGATCCTAATTACATAATAATGGAACTTATGGAAGGTGGTGACTTGCTAAGTTACTTGAGGGCTAAACGCGCTTCACTAGTAAGTGTACAAAAATAAATATTGTTGCTTAAATGACTGTAGTTTGTAGAATAGTAAATAATTAACGAATTTTGTTACAGTACACCCCGGAATCTCTAACACTTTTAGATCTTTTGAACATGTGTGTGGATGTAACGAAAGGTTGTCGCTACTTAGAAGAGATGCACTTCGTCCACCGCGACCTCGCGTGTCGAAACTGCCTTGTGGCCCACCGAGCTAATGGACGAGTTGTAAAAATTGGCGACTTTGGATTAGCCAGAGATATCTACAAGAATGACTACTACAGGAAAGAAGGCGAAGGTAATTATTTATTTTACACATTAGGTATTGCTTTTTTAGCTGTGGATGACTTTACGTCTTTTTCAATAAAAAGGCTTAATTAACTTCAGCAACTTTAGGACTTGAGCACTTAAAAAAACAGATCCTAAATACTAACAAAACTAGCTACAACTAACTAACTGTATTTAATTTATATTGATCTAACCTGATTTGTATTCACAGGATTACTGCCAGTGCGTTGGATGGCGGTGGAGTGCTTAGTGGACGGCGTGTTCTCTTGCCAGTCTGACGTCTGGGCGTGGGGAGTGCTGTGTTGGGAGGTAAGGTCTAGAGGGAAATTAAACATTCTGTTAAATTTTAAACTCAAGAAAAACCTAGTATCTGTTTTATGTTCTTTTTGTGTATAGTAAGTATATGAATTAACTTTGTTTGTAGATATTATCATTGGGACAACAACCGTATCCTGCATGCACTAACCGACAAGTGCTGGCATATGTGCGAAGCGGTGGCACACCCGACAGACCACCCAACTGCCCTTCTGCATTGTAAGTATCCTTGTCTTAAACACATAACTGGGTAAACTATAAGTAACAACAAAACAGTTATAATATTCATTGCGTTTCTTATTTTCTTTAACCGATAATGACAATGACTGCGTCAGGTACGAGTTGCTGCAGAAGTGCTGGAGCTACGCGGCGGAGGCGCGGCCGTCGTTCCGGCAGTGCCTGCAGCTGGTGACGGCGCTGCGCGACAAGACCTCGCCCAACATCACGCTCACCGCCACGCCCAGCCCCGCGCCGCACTACCTCACTCTCCTGCCCGACGGTAAGCTGCCTGTCTCACTCACACACCGCATGCTCTGCTACTCCCACGGCCGCTGGCTTTCACACTACTCGACACATTTATTGATGATCGCATGTAGCAATAGACTTCATAGCAGTACGATTTCGAATAGTGTCGTTGCTCATGCCCCCATCGTATGTAAGACGACCAGTCCATTAATAATAAAGCCGTAGTAAATTTCTAAAGATTTCGCAAATAGCAATTACTTTTCAAGACAAAAAAAACATTGATTCTTCAAAATAGCTCATTTTGATAACAACAATCATATAGTAAAATAGGTCCTCAGTTAGCATGTTACTGAAAATTTAGTGATCGTTTTATAAAATATGCGATATTTTAATTAATAATAAAACTGTCTTCATTTCATGTAAACCAAACTAACCGATGTATTGTGCATGGGCTGCATGTTCAGATGCCGTCGACAACCGCACCTACCTATTGGACGAGAATGACAACGCCTGCTTAGGTTCGTGATAACAATCACTGACTGATATTACCAACACTCTTTCTTATGTTTCTAAATATTAATGGGTGTCGAAATATCACAGATGAAGATTTCCCGGACCACATGGAACCGTCACGACTGCTTCCAGAGCGAACTCCGAAATACTTAGAACTTATGTACGACAGCGACTCTGCTCAGGGCACCATTTGTGACGGTTACGAGATCCCGAGAGCCCCGATCACGTACATGCCTCCGTTCTCTAGACACAGCATCGTGGGCGTGGCCCCGAACAGACTGATCAAGCCTCCCCTGTACAGAACACATTCCCTGCGGACACAGTCGCGGCCACCGAACGCCACGATCATACCGTTGAGGAACGGGTTGGTGAAACGAGCCTCGCTGTGTGAGGAGATCCGAGCCCGGGACCCGCGTCCAACTTCGTCTCGGGAACAGCCGCGAGTTGACTTAGACTTTGATAAACACGTATTCAAGACTCCATTTTGAACTGTGATATTAGGAAAAATTAATTATGCAATAATATATTATGTAAATTTTCCACCGAATGAGGATACTGTTGTAGAATTAAGTGAATATTTAATATTATTTATTTTGTCTAGAGTACAGTTTGTAAATAGAGATGAATAAATTCGTTGTAAATATTAGTGTAAATAATCTATAGTGTTGAGGTTAAGTATCTTTAGAACACATCACAAGACAACCTATTAAATGCATTTAATGAAAGCCAATTAATTAAATATATCGCCTAGTACTATGAAGTTTTATTACTCTATCATTTATATTTTTAGACTATTCATAAAATTAAAATAGAACTTTTACAATAGCAATAACGATAAAAGGACTAAATTGAAACAAAAATATGCTTATTTTAATATTTTATTTGATATACGTTACGATTAATTTATTAGCCTAAAGTATTTTTTACATTTTAACAAAAATAAGTGGATTTCAAATAATTGAAATAGATTTAGATAAATTCTACGCAAATTCTGATTAGTATATTTTAGGTTTCGGTATGCTTAATGCACTAAAATGCAATGTACTTTTTAGTCGACTAATTTTTATTCAAAAACCATAAGTATGTATATCGAAAATCAAAATGTACGTACAATGCCAAATAAACCCGTTTTCACACTCAACTATTTGCTATAATGTTATAAAGAATAAACTTATTTAAAAATAAGCCAAATATCAACTATTAAGTCTCACAGCATTATTGCCATTTCGCTTCGATTACGCTCTGTTTAGTTACCTTTAGGTCATAAACACGGAACGCAAAATTCAGCACAATAACAACTACTTACTTCAATATGTCGTTAAAAAACTACGTGTCGAACGGTGACGCGCAATCGTCAGAAACCTGTTTCTTTTCACAGCAGTAGAAATCAATGACAAATTTTTGATCAACGTGTAATAGTTATGTAGCGTAATAATTATGCCCGTGCATGCAAATGCCTAGAAATTTTACACACACTTAGTAAAAATATAGATTTTTTTAGTTTAGCAAAACTTAGTAGTATTTATTTTTAGTAGAAAAAGGAGACAGACGCGTGACACGGTTCAAAGAATATAAAGTTATAATACATTACTTTTGTATATAATTCGAGGTAGTTAATATAAAGATGTCAGAATCCTCGAAACAAATATATATTTTGCGTAGAACTGCAAACGACAGCTTATCTAATAATAAAATAAAATATACTTTTCGTAACTAAATATAACTTCTATGTAGTAATAACTAGACTTATCTATTCGCCGTCTTCGGCAATTTCTTGCTTCATCCGTTTCTCATGTTTCAACTGTTCGGTGGTGGTGACATTGCCACCGATAGCAGGCGGGTCGTGGTGGTCGTCGTCCTGTGCGTCGTCTTTACTATTCTCGTGTAGCAGCACGTACTCCCTCTGAGAGAATCCGAACTTCACAACGTCGCGCTCTAGTAACTCCACATACCGACGAGGTTCGATTTTCTTATTATTTACAAAAGTACCATTAGCAGATTCTGAAAAAAAATATTATGATTAGCAGTCGAAACTTGCATAATGTTATTAATAGTGGCTTACAGAGTGCAAGGAATAAAATGAAACCTACCTAAATCTATGACGTAAGGTCTAACCCTGCGTCCTTGCGTGCCGTCCGGTCTCGTGAATGGCGTAGCTCGATACTGCAGCGCAGCGTGTTGCTTGCTAATAGAAGGATGTTCCAATGCAATATCCACCACTTTCTTGTCCCGCCCAATTAGAAAAGCTGACTGACGGTGAATGTACAGGATAGGTAATGCTTTATCTCCTTTGAAAGGATAGAATCTGAAAATAAAAAACGAAAATTGTAACACATTTTGTACTTCGCAACCATTAAATATTTGAATAGAATAATATGCTAATAAATATCATGCTCACGTAATAAAAATAGCAATGGATAGTGAGCATACTGATGAACGGTACTAAAATTATCTGTAGTGCCTCTAAATTGGCGTATGTAACATAACATTACTATTCAAGGAATAAAATGAATATATCTTAATTTACCTCCATCTCCTCTTAGGCTGCTTAGCATCATCGGGTTCGGTGTACTTAATCACAACGCCATTGACCGTATTCGCGTCAGCTGTCAGCTTACCAGACAAACCAAAATTAGGTTTTTCTTTATCTGCTGGAATTTTGCCATCCTCTTTCTTAATCTCGGCTTTGCCCCAGTCATATTCCTTGTTATCATCCGCATCCGCAAATCTGTAAACACATTTTAAAATAAAATAAGTATTGTAACATGACAGTTTACTAAATAAATATATTACTTTCAAGGTGGTGGCATTATAATGGCTGTTGTAAGTACAAACCTAGATTTACGATCGCGTGATTTAGGTTCTGTTTTTATCGGAGGTCGGCCACGGTCGACGTTCCGATCTTCATTTCGTCCAGGTCGATCCCTCCTATCGTCACCTCGGTCTCTCCGTTCTTCCATCCGCGCGTCCCTTCTTTCTTCCCCACGGCCATCCCTTCTGTCGTCACCCCGGCCGTCTCTTCTATCGTCACCTCTGCCATCCCGCCTTTCATCTCCGCGCCCATCTCTTCTCTCGTCAGCACGCCCATCTTTGAACCTATCTTCTCTCACGTCCGGTCTCTCTGATCGGCGACCACGATCCTTAAAGCGGTCTTCCTGACTTCTTGATCTGGAACGTTCCCTGGAAATCCAGATTTTAATAGAATTAATTTTTACATGTAAATTAAACAAAGTGGAAACTTTTTTGAATGCAGTCTTTAGACAATATGTTATTTGGCATAGATGTATCAAATAGTGAGCGAATTGCAGCGAATTCTGGCAGTATTAAGGAGATCTTTTTTGAATGCATGAAAAAATATTAAGAACCTGTGCGACGCGGGTGCAGGTTTGTCCGGTCTGCCAGCTATTCCCATGGCCTTCTCACGACGAATATCACGTGGTCTGTAATTGATAAACATCTAAACTGATCAACTGCGATATTATTTCCTAACACAGATATACAAAACTTGGTCTGCAATTGGGTGCTCCAACAATGAAATTACTTCAAGCTTGAACAAAAATACAACAAAAATAATAATAAATATATTTAACTTATTTACCCTACCCAATACAACAAAAATATTCTGTAATCATATTTTTGTAGCTTAGGTATTCAATTACTTGTGACATTTAAACCTCAATTGGAAAATAAAATTTTATTTATGTTAAGCAAAAAATACGAAACTATAGACTCATTCATAACTTTTGAATACTATGCGGCTCACATATATTTTCGTTAGTATTTTTGTGTAACAAAACAATATATTCATTAATTTATCTTCAACACGAAGAACCAATTATGTTTGACACTCCTTTAAATCATACACTTACCATTACTTTTGAAACGCAATGTTGATATCACGAGCATACCTACTGTGTTCGACCTTTTGTGAACTTCTCATATTTTTGGTAATTTATGACGATCTTTATCAAATAGCTCTCAACTAAGTTAGACTGAATAACAAAGGTATTCTTTTGTTCGTCACAGTAGCGCAAGTAATGCGCGAGGCCGTAATATTTTTGTATTCAAGGTTTTTTTATCTTTTTCTTACAGTCTGACACAAATTACTTTATTTTTCTATTAAGGTTTTAAGTGATACAGTACCAGTCCTTATAGTTTGAAATTTTTGTAGTTCTTACAACTGCAGTCTGTTTAAGATTTTCTCCAAATTGCCTATCTAGGCATATATTTTCAAAGCTTACGAAAAGCATTGTTTTTTTATCAAAACAATAGAAGCCGTTCTCAAAATGTCAGGAACATATTTTGATGTGAAGTATTTCTATAGAATAGTGTTAGTGGTGCCTGAATTAATAAATGATCTTCAGAAGAAACAGTTTCCATAAAAAGTTGAGTAGTTCAAGATTTTGTAAAAATTCTATCTTGATTGCTGTCTTCCTGTTCCAGAAATGTCAAGAGACTCTAGTTCGAAACAATTCTTGATTTAGGTATTATTCAGCTGATATTTTAAACATGGTTTTACGCCATTAAATGTCAAATTCGTTTTCAGATCTCATATACAACAAATAAAGTATCTCCTTATCTGAATAAACAAACAAATCAAAATTCAAATATCCATGTTTCCATTATTTCCTCATATTAATGATTTCTTGTTGGTCTAAATCAGTTGCCAGTCATTGATTGTATTTTCAATTACAATTCAAGATGGTTGTCTAATTTGTCATTACTCAATATTCCTCTTTTTGAGTTCCAAAACTCAATTGCTTTGCAGCACTTCCATTCAATTGAATTTATTGAGTCTTTGTCTCTATATAAATTTGTCTTGTTCTTGTCTGAAATTGTTGTCATTCAGTATTTGTTGACTGTAGAAAGTGTTGAGTAGGAGTCCCTCGTAGAAAGCATTTCAGTGCTTATTAAAAATTAAAACTATAATCCTCTGCTAATAAGCATTCCAATAAATCTATAACAATTCATTGTCTCACACATGCCTATTGCAAGTATCATTTAAGGTGCAAATATTAAAATATCTTTGCAACACCGACATGCTCTGATCACTATATTTTTCTGTAGAGTGGTCACTGTAAAAATAAATATAGTTATTTAACGTTGCAGGTACACTGTTACTGACCACTTGTGGCCAGCACACGCATGCAATAACACTGTACTATATGTGTGTGATAATGTTTTAAATAGATAAATAACCATTTTAAAACAAGTTACCAATCATGGCAAACCTTTTCGCTAACACAATGTTAATAAGTAGTGAGGAACATATTTTTACATACCTTTCAGGAGCAAATCCATCTTCATGGTACCTCTCCTTCCTGTCTGGGTAGTCCCTCTCACGGAAGCGGTCGTTGTCTGGTGGACCACGCCTAATGACAAGATGAGTTGAAGTTAAGATTGCTTATAGTTAAACTGATAAAAAATAAAATTAGAAACCATAATTTTTATTTGATTATGCAACATAGATATTTTCACCTTTCACGATAGTCTCTTCTATCTTCATACTCCCGCCTTTTTGGGCCCCCTCGCTCTTCAAACTGATTGAAACGGTTTACCCCTAAAACCAAGAAAATCCAATAAGACAATATAGAAAGCGCCCTAGTAGTAATCTTTTTTTAAATAATCAAAAACACTCACCTCTGGCATCATCTCTTGGATGATAACGCTCCTCATGTTCTCTGGGTCGCCTTTGATACTCTTCTTTAGGAGACCTATGGTCTTCATATCTATGACTCCTAAATGCAATAAACATTATTAGAAAAAGATAGTAATATAATATTTCCCTAATTACGACCAGCACATTATAGTTTCCTACAAGCAAACATGAATGTATACTTGTAATGTACCTTTTATCGTCATAATCTCTTAGTCGTCTATTATGTTCTTCATTAAGATCATGATATTGGGAGCTTTGGCCAAATTTTTCTTTATATCTATCATTTTTTTCTTGATGATACTGTGAATATCTGCAATGATTTATGATGCAGTGTAATTAAGTATTACACATTATCATTTTTTAAATACTGTGCTGTTAAATTACCTTTCATTGTGTTCCCTGTCATACTGTTGATATTGCTCTTGATACTGTTGCCTCCTTTCCTTGCTGGATCCCCGGTAAAAACGTTGTACTTCTCGTTCCCTTTCATAATCTTCAGGAGACACTGATCTTTGGTATTCTTTCCTTAAAAGTGATATAGAAAGTAGTACAACGTTTCTCTCGTAAAAAACCTAGACATAATATATATTAAATAAGAATTTTAAACAACTTACTGGTTATAGTATGAACGTATTGGAGGATTTGCTTCTTCAGAGGACCCACGACGTTCTTTAACCACACTATGCAAACGACGCTGGATTTGCTCTTCATCTAGTATATAAAAAAAACATTACACATTAAAATGTACACAAAAAGAAGCCAAATGAAATGTAAAAAAAGAAACTTACCTTGTGCACCAGCAGAAGAACTGCGTGGTCTTTTATGTTTACGTTTATGTTTTCGTTTCTTCTTTGAAGAAATTTCACCTTCACTGACTGATGAAACATCTTCCGCGCCAGATCCACTTTCTTCGACAGAATCTGAACGCCTCTTTTTCTTGTTGTGCTTCTTCTTCTTTTTCTTATGCTTTCGTTTCTTTGAACGTTTCTGATCTTCAGAATCGCTCTCCGAATCGGTAGATTCAGCACGTTTCCTTTTCTTCTTGTTGTAGCGGTGTTCCGACACCGAGGAATCGTCACTCTCACTGCCTGAAGAACTGCTATTTCCACTTACATCAGATTCATCAGAATCTTCAGAGGATGTGTGATGCCGCTTCTTAGATTTCATATTTTATGTTATTTTGGAATGATTTTACAATAAAATAGTAGTTATTGAAAAACACCACGACACCAAAAACAAAATGCTGTTGAAGCAACTCAGAGCGTGAATGAAGAATGAATGAGAATGAGATAGGGGTGGACGATATACATCGATGTTTTAAAAACACTCGATGTATTGTATCGATGCATCGTATTGAACCGATGTATTGTTAATACTTCAACATCGAATACATATCGATGTTTTTCATTCGATACATCGAATACGCAAATGGGGATCCACACTGCGTATTTATCCCGTCAGATGGCGCATCGTCGATGGTTTGACTGACAACTGTCAATTTCATACATAATGGTGATTCTCAATCAGAATTATTAGGTTTTTTCTAATATGCCACTGTGTTAAGTACCAGGCTGTTTTAATCGTGGTAATCATCTTTTTCCAAAAGCTCCAGCATTGAAAAAAAGAAAGTGAGAAAGAGCTACAAAAATTATAACCTTTGTATCAACAGTTGATTCAAGTCTGTGCAAAAAACATTTTAAAGACACGGATTATCACGGAAAATCTGCTATTATAGGATTGTAGAACTACCGAACTACCGATTCTGACAAGTCCGATAAAATGAAGAAGCATTTTCATTGTGGACTGATCACCATAAGTTAGTGCATCATAACTGGAAAATTAACAAATCTGAAAATGTTTTGTCTGACGAACTTTCAGTTTATCTCAGAACTCCTGTTGGAAGACTGAACGAAAATCCATTAGAAATCTGGAGAGATTATAAAATACAATTCCCGAAGCTGTATAAAATAGCTTATAAGTATTTAACAATAGTTGGCACGTCAGTCCCTTCTGAAAGACTTTTTTCACAGGCAGGGCTGGTTATGACGGAACAAAGAAACCGGTTAAAGGGAAAGAGATTAAACAAACTGTTGTTTTTACATAGCATTGAAAAAAAATATTGGAATTTATAAAGAGAAAAATGTGTTGGCTCTGTGATTTTAAATTTAAATACATATGTTTTCTGATTTTCTTAATACATGTTTTTGTTTTAATTAATGCCTAACCTAAAACAATCGATGTTTAAGAAACATCGATGTATTTCTCAATACATCGGATTACCATCGATGTAACTAAACGATGCATTACATCGAAAAAAACATCGATGTATTTTTTTAATGTCCATCCCTAGAATGAGAATGATTGTTAGGATGTTAGGTACGTTTTCCAAAGAGCAGGATTACAATTAATGTCGATAAAAGTATCGATATATTGAATTGTATCGACTTTTTTAAATCGATTAATCACTGGTTAATCAATTTAAAACAATAATTTAATATTTCATTGATTATTCGATACGTAACCGAAAAAACGTATGCTCTTTTTAACGATTATAATTGTTTTGGATGTTGAATTTTTCTACTTTCACTAAGATAGGCAATTAAACGTCTTGAAATTCGTATAATATTGGGAAATACTATTATTATACATATAACTATTAAAAGGAATGCTCCCTTTACTCAGAAATAATCCTAAATTAAAGTAATGTACAATCTATTTAAGAAAAATATTTTTAGAAGAGCTTAATAGCCAATTTCTCAAAATTTGGAATATCAATTTGTGAACTCGAAATTTATCGAGTTGGGTCTCGATATTGTGACAAAATATGACACATCGATATTTGATTTTAGCGATAAACAAAGAGGATAAAATGAATACATATGAATCAGATAGTTTTTTGTACACAACTTTCAAAATCAAACTGAGCCGTTCAGATATCAATTTGTCTGACTACTCATCAGAGTATCTTAGACAAATCATATAAAATATAGCATATACGAATATAATAAAAATAAATTAATAAAAAGAATTTTCTGGATTTAATAAATCAAGATAACATTTTTCATATTATCCCTACCAGACAGAAAAAGCACACTGATTGTTACTGATTACTTAGATAATAATTTTGAAGAAATCGTTATCATTATTTATAGTTTTTTCTCATTATCAAAACGACTAGCGATTCGATTCGACTAAACAATTACGGGTAACGATCTTCCTTGGTAAACTCTACCCAAACAAATGTCATCGAAAGAGTTGACGTTTTACATAAAAAGTGTCATTAACGTCAACGTCAAGCAATATCATCAATGAATGATTAAAAGAGTGAAAGTACCAAGTGAGAAAACTCGGAGAACTTTATTTTTACTAAACAAATACTTAGGTACTACATAATAAACAATAATTTTGACAGCATGCATTATCTAGCAAATCTTTATTATTCCTAAAAGGAAAGGAATATTTTTCCGCCGGAGACATGTTCTTTATTATGTTTTAAATTAATTTATTGCAGATACTGAACGTCGCTACTCGCTTGATAAAGCATCGTTGGCATACCTTTGTGAGTGTTAAAAAGTTGCAAATTGGCTGTACTCTATCAAAGATATGGCTACCCGTAAAAGAAGTGGTTCTGGGTCTAAGAGGCACCTGAAGGAGAAAGTTGTACAAATCTATGAATCTTTCTTTAGAGGTGAAGATTTAACCACTGATAATGCCACATTCTGGGATGAATTCTTCCTCCTCAAGCCAAAAATACCACAACTTGAAGCTGAAATTCATAAGCTGTCTGTAGAACAGCTTATGAGCATGAAAGATAGTATGAATTTACTTGTATCACAATGTATTGAAATGCTAGGACAGGAACATCATATAAGGTAACATTTAATTTGTAGAAAATAACTAAAGAAAGATTGTAATTATTCAAAACCTGATTAACTGGTTGAATACATTCTATTTCAGATTGGTCTATGCACTTCAGACTCTCAGTGCCCTATTAATAACAATGTACCAAAGAGCTGCACAGGACTCTAATATCAATATTAAAACAGTGTTAATTGGATCAGATAATCCTGACTTGAAAATGCAAAAGTTGTTTGAACATTGTAGCACCATTTTATCAGGTAATACAAAGTTTATATAATAAGTAACAAATGTAAATAAAGCCAAATAAAAGAGATGCACATAGTCACCATTTCTCTATCCATGAGTGGTGTAATTCAGGAGTAATTCACTATTCCCCTGCGGTCCCAAATATTTTTCTTACATATTATTTACAACATAAAGTACCAAACCAAAACAAATTCAGTACTTAAGATTCACTAATGATTTGTACCAAAAAACATATATATGGCTGAATTGAGAAACTGTCAGTCAGTTAAAAATCACCATAACATCAACACCAAATTTAATATTTGACATCAAAGAAAGAACACAACAATATCAAAAAGGTGTTAAAATCAGAATAAAAATGTATGTAAGAAGTATACGGAGGAAGAAGTGTTAGGTTGGCATAAAAAAAGCAAAGTGGAAAGGAATATTCTAATATCATAAGTAATATTCATTCTTTTTTACTCACCTACTTTTGATTTGATTTTAAGAAAAAAAAGTTTTGAAAGTAAGTATCATGAAGTTATAATGTAATATACATTTGCAGGAGATGTTCCAGACAGCTTAAAATCAATGGTTCTAAAGCTTCTTTTAGTAATAGCAACGGGCCTCGACAACATTGATGAAAACCCTCTGGTTGAGTATTTTATGCAAAACTCATTGTTTGAGTCTCTAATACAATTACTATGCACCTCTACAGAAAGACAACATCATGGTAAATTACCATAATTATTACCAGCTTTTATTGTACTGAAATGCATTTTTCACTTGCTTGTTGAAACAGCTTGCCAAGTTATGAATTCTATCTTTGTAAATATCTGAAAAAATTATGGTTTTCTCATTTATGTTTTAGGGTATGATGTGGTTATGCTGTTAATGTTTTTAGTAAATTATAAGAAACAAGAGTCTGCTAATCCTTATGTTGTGAAATTATCTATACTAGATGATGAATTAGCTTTGAATGGGTATGTATTATGATTTTATATACAATTTATTATTATCGAAGTTCTGAAGATTATTCCATGATCGAAAGGGTTTTGACATATTGACTTTTTTAAGGTATGGACAAGTTATTACAGCAGCTCTCAATGACTATGTGATGTCGACTTTTGGAAATATGCAAGGAGGTGGAGGTGGCGGCGGTTGGCTGTCTTCCTTCACTAGTATGGTTGGTGGGATATTTATGACCAGTGATGAGACACAACCAGTTATCAGAGGACAGAGGGCCAGGTCAGTAGAATTAAACAAAAAAAAGATATGTATGTGTAATTTATTTGATAGCTGAAACTTTTCAGAAAGATGTAAACATGGTTCCAGTGAGTAAATAATGTTATAAGGTTTCTTAGTACGTCGTATGTAAGTACGCATATGTAATAGCTATGCAATATTAACGACGGCGACCAGCCTTACGTGTATAAGTAAAGTTTAACTGTGCTATGAGTTATGCTTGTTTATATAAGTCATATCTGCCATAGATATTCGATACCTAATTGATAAAAGAAATAGTGCATTAGACGTACAATTTGACCAGATAAGATAACATATTATTGTACACACTAGAACCATTGTAATCAGTATACTTACAACTTTTTTAGTTTCCCAACTATTCTAACATTCGTAAATGTACTAGGGAAAATGCTTCAATCCACAAACAATATGAAATAAATAAAAATTTATTGCGTGGGCCAAGTCGAACCTAATCTGTAAAATTGGTAAGGAGAGGCTTGAACGCCTTCCTTCGCAAGGCAGTTTCTGCTGGCTATAGTTTCTACCTCTATACACGAGGGGAGAGTCGTTGGCGCAATGGAATAAGTAAAATCTTTGCATCGAATTCGACTCTGGATGTCGGGTGTAAGTAGCCTGTCGTGCCAAAGTGCGGGTGCGATATGCCGGATATTCGTTTGCATCAGCGCTCGGTACCTTTAGCGGTCATGTTCCTTGACATTCTGTAAACGAGGATGACCAACAAAATCCCACCCATTGTGGTGAAGATGTACACCCCAGAGTTAGCTACAGTCTTACCATGCCTTTTTCGGCTCTCATATCCTGGAGGCGTAGTTCCGACATCATGGGAGACGGTACTAATCCCCCTAACAGCCTCGGCCCGTACTTGGAGTCGAAATATAATGTAAAGTTCAGGTTTGCGGTCATATCTGGAGGGTAAGGCTAAGTAAGCCTCGAAGAAGCTAGGTTTGCTCAATAGACGGAGGCAGTATTTACTCCGGAGCATCGGATGCTACTTTATAAGGCGCAGGTTCAACCCCATATGGAATATTGTGCTCATCTCTGGGCGGGGGTACCCTGGTGCCAGCTTCTGCCTCTGTGTGTTCGAATCGTAGACTGCTCTGATGTTTCAGTTCGGCTAGACTCTTTGGGATTGCGTAGGGATATGTGCTCTATAAAGCCTAAAACACGAGGAATGCTTCAAGAAACTGTTCGCATAATTATGCGAAAACATTTCATTCCCCATCAGACAAATGGCTGATAATAAACAACTGCTGTTTTCGCGAAATTTTCTGCCTAATCCAACAAAACTTTGGCATGATCTTTGGTCTGTTTTCTGGTGGCGGAATTTCCCAACCGAATCGAGCTTTAAGAAACTAGCGGTCTTTCGTAAGGTGGGCACTGCGCCTGTGACGGTGATCTGATTTTGTGAAGTCCATAAAAAATAAGATTAATTTAAAAATTACATTTTTCCAAATTACAAATGCATTTTGTTATAATACCAACAAGATTTAAGCTCCCTGCAAAACATTTGTAAATACTCCATAAAACGTTACTTCAATTTACTTTAATGTCCCCCACAGCGGTGCTGAAGAAGGAATGTTACTGGCGTTGTACGAAGCAGCTCACTTGAATCGCAATTTCATGACGACACTGGCCCATTCCTCATCAGCTGCAGCTTCATCGGCGCCGCCTTCACCACCAGCTACATTGCCACCGCATCAGGTAAGATATTTAATGTACAACTTTGAGAATATTGCTCGTAATAGCAACTGCATTGTTTTCAACACAATCTCTTTTATATTTAAGCCTAAAAAGACGCAGCTCAATGATCCTAATATGGCCGCGACGACGCTTAGGAAATGTTTGACATATAATTAATGCTAGTAGAACTTTGATTTGTAGTAAGTAAATTAATGATTTACGCATATATCTACATCACACTTTAGCTAGACCTAGCTAAAGCGAATCGGTGAGGCCATAATCGTGTTATTTTGGGTAGGTACCTATGCAGGCGTATATTACTTACTGTGTACTAAAAGTATTAATTGTTTCAGACTCCGCCTAATTTAAGCCAAATCCAAGCTCTTGATAATGAGCAACCAACTAATCTGCTAGTCACATTCTTCCAATATTGGTAAGTTTCACTTAAATAGAGATATATCGTATCTACTACTGACTAGATTAAATGCTGTTTGGTCTCACATTTCCCTAATACATTTTCTATTTTCAGTTCCATTGTAATGGCAGACACTCGAAGCGAATCAAGCATCAACAAATGCAGTCTATGTTTTATAATACTTACGTGTATAGTGGAAGAACAGTTTGCAAATTCTATTATGCATGACCAGAATCTTACTTTTAAGGTAAGTAGTAGGTAATAATAATATAACACCAATAATTTAGTAAGATTTTAAAAATATGTTTAAATTGTTAAATTAAATGTATCTACCAATAATTCGTGGAACCATTCCAGTCGGTAAAATAACTTTCACATCATCAGTGTTTAACTGTTGTATTTGTCAACGGGTCAATAACTTGATAAGTGCAAATAATATATTTAAAATATAAGAATATTTATGTTGTTCATATCCCTTACTACATAGTAGTAAAATTACTTATGAGTAGTAAGTTTTTTATAGTAGATATTATGTAAAGAAAACCACATGTTTACTTTAAATTTCTTCAGCTTTGATATAATAAATACTACCTACTTTTTAAGGTACAACTGTATAGGCTCCCGATGCGTCATAGAAAAATAGTTCTCGAAGAGCCACCATCCCAACCTCTCGCATCTACCCTAATAGGTAAGTAATAAAAATAATTGGTTAAATAATAATCTTCTTACAGTCGAATAAATATTTACTCGTAATAGTACTTAGATATTTACTAAATAAACTATTCGTTTACAGATCTTCTTGTCGAGTTCATAATGTGTCATTTACTTAAGAAGTTTCCTGGTGAACTTTATCAGTTGTGCATAGGGGTGTTACTACGGCTACTCAGCTACCAAAAGCGATGTCGCGTGAGACTGGCAAGAGACTGGCGGCCTTTATGGGCTGCACTGATTGCTCTCTTAAAGTTCTTAGTTACCAACGAGAGCACTTTACTGAGGAGGCATAACATTTTCATTATGATTCAACAGGTATTCAAAGTTTTTGTACTATACTATTTTCTTATGGGATAGGCCGGCAAACGAGCAGATGGATTACCTGATGGTAAGCAATCAGCGCCGCCCATAGACACCCATAACATCAAATGAGTCACGAGTGCGTTGTCTGTCTTTTGGGGATAAAGGTGGTGGACGGGAAGGTAGAGGGGGAGAGATTGGGCCTCCGGCAACGTCTCTTACACGGCGAAACACAACAAACGCTGTGGTTGTTTCACGCCGGTTTTCTGCTACTATACTAACTTCGGCCAACAAAAGCAACCGCCTAGTGATTTAAAAAAAAAATCTATTGACTTTCTAGTATTCCAGGCTTTTTAGAATGTGTGTCGTAAAAAGTGGCATAGACAGGACAGTACAGAAGTTGATATATCATGTATTCATCTAAAACAAATGAAAATATTTTTTCATTTAACTCACGATTCCCAGAGAATTTTGATTTTTTTTCTGGTTCCCCAAGATTGTACCTCGGTGACTTCAAAGCCCGAGTAAATAGGTTACTTATGAGTAGAGTGGTCCATCGTAGGTCGCCTGATCGCTTACCACCAGGCGAGATAGTGGCCAACGCCGAGCCCGTTTCTAATAAAAAAATGTTTTATTATGATTATTTCTTATTTGACATATTCTCAAAAAGTGACTATTCTGTTTTGTTTTTAGGTCGTGAACATTTTCAATGTGTTTATCACGTTCGGTGATACCTTCCTGCCGACTCCTGTATCTTATGACCAATTGTATTATGAACTAATCCGTATGCATCAAGTATTTGATAATCTGTTCTATATGGGTAAGTTAGCTTTAATTTCTCCACCATAGGTATATTTTCTATGCATGTGGAACTTACGTCATTTGTCTTTGTTTTGTTTCGCAGCTTTACGATATTCAACCAGTGATGGTGAATTCAAAGCAGAGGCGCTGCGCCTAGCTAACTGTTTGGTGAATGTTCGGGCCATCATACAACACTTCTCGCCCAAGATCGAAGCCTGGCTGGCTATGCAAAATCTTTCCACACCTACTGAAGATCAGGTCAGAACTTTTTAATGTCCCTAATGACAGCTTTCTCTCTTTATTGAACTACATTGTATTGCAAAATGCAATTTCTTTGTTGTTACAGATTCTAGAAGTAGTTAGAAAGAATTATGATAGCTTAATCCTAAAGCTACAAGAGGGGTTAGAATCATACGAGCGGTATTCAGAAAAAGAACATCGTCCCTTACTGTCGCGCCTGGTGCTGGCCGCGCGCCAGAGAAGCGACGCCTCAGCTTTACATCACCACACTGCAGCTGCGTTGGAACATTACACCAGCATTTCCTGAAAGTATTAATTTAATCACACTAACGGGGCGCGCGATGCTTATTTCTAGACGCCCATAAAATATTACGTCGATAGACTATTCACACTAAAAGGTTAGCGACGTTAATCCAAATTACAATAAAAATATGGCTGTTGTCAAGGTAAGCACACTTATAAGAACTTTTAATTTTTGAATTAATTTGTGATAAGTATCAGAATGAGCTGTTTCTGATTGTTTATTTGTAACTGATTGTTTATTATTGAATTATGTATTGATTTACATCTTTGTAAGCCTAGTCGTTGCTAGCATTTAAAGTTTATAGAATACTGTAAATGTTAATACCATACTATATCATATTTTATTGAACCCTGTAAGGTCCTTAGATGTCATAGATAGATCATATCTATGTCAATTAATATCACTGACAATTAACATGTACTACCAAAGTTTAAAATAACCAGTTGTGACAAGATTTAAAATGATAGTAAAATAACTTACTGTAGTTATAATACATCATCAGACATAATAAATATGATTCACTCATGTTGTAATATGTCTTCTACTATAAACTAAATATTTAAGTTAATTTTTAGTGTTGTATTGTAAGGTATTCCTATATGTTACTTATTAATTCTGGTATGGTATTTAAGGTTTAGTATTTTTATTCATTTGTAACAGACTGTTGGAGAAATCCAAATGAGAATTAATCTAAAAATCGATATCTTTGAGCAGTAACAATTACTGCTAGGTATATGCGTATTATTATAAACGTCTCTATTATTGTGAAGGAAAAGAAAATTTGTTTGACATAGTTTAATTTAGGTATTGTTAACTACAATACTAACTTGTGGTAATTTTAAATCTGCATATTGCAAATGATGTTTTTGATGCTTAGTTTACTATTAATATTATTGGCCATGTATTTTTAGAAGTTATACATATTTGATTAAACTAAAATATTTAGATTATTTAGAAATTATAACAGATTATCATTACACATTGATATATTTGGATAAAAGTATGTATGAGAGCAAAAATAATTATGGTTATTTTGATATGTGTATAGAGTTTTAAAACGTGAAATGTATATTAAAATAGATGTTAATTAAATAAATTATTTTTGTGGACATAATATTTTTTTAAACCTATAAAATGAAACACAATTTTATATAAGTAATTATATAATTCGACATAATCCAATAACAATGAATTAAACACACATCAATACATAATAGACTAGATAATTGCTTTGTTTAGACTAGAATTCTTTCACAGCTTTTGAATAAAGAATTTTAAACTTAATAAGTAAAACTTTGGTAGACAGGTACACATAGGCAAGTAGAAAGAAATAAACAAAAAGTCTAATTCCTTTAAAAAAAAACGAGGTTTAGATGATAATTCACCTCAATCTGCTCTCTGGAATACCACGAGTTTAAAGATTTAGTGACTGAAAAAGCTGTTGTAATTATATTACTTTACACTAGTGGATGAACTCAGGTTTAGTGTTCAAGTGCCCCATAGCAATAGTTGGCAAGCAGTAGGGAACCGTTTGATATTATTTAGCAACATAACAAAATTAAATAATGTTTCAGCCCTATTCAATGTTGTGCTTCGCCATTCTTATACCCATTGTCCAATGATTTAATAACATTTCTCTGCAAATTGTACTCTTATGTTACAGCCATTGTCAGATACTAAACAACTTGTGAAATTAATTCGATGGTTTTAGTTCAGCAAGAGCTTCCTTCACTAAGTCTTGCAAGTCTTGCGGCAAAACAGTCTTCGACATGTTCCTTCTTAGCTCCTGGCATTCTTCGACATCATCCTCATCATCATCATCATCATATGTCTTCCTTAGGTCTCCTGATGACCCATCACTGGTTTCTTTATTTAAATCGTCATCACTATCAGAAAACTTATTTCTGTTATTCTCTGAACTGTCATGGGATTTTAATTGTTCCTTTGAATCATTTGATTTCACAGACCCAGAGTCAGTTAAAAACTCGTCCATCAACATTTGTGAGGGAAATATGGGGATATATTTCTGACCATTGCACCAACTTTCTAATGTTTTTTCTAGCTCTGTTATTCTATTAGCTAGAATCCTGTAAATAAAATGTATTCATGTATATCAAATAATATTCTCACTTATATGTGTTACATTGAAAAGATAAAGCTTTGACACCGGATATGGATACTATTTAACTTAGATAACATAATAATAATATTTCGCTATGCAAAAACCGCACTTTGAAATAAAAGGGCAATTCACAAAAAAAGATATAAAAATATAATGATAATACATACTGATTAGTTTTTCTTTGATGTTGTAAGGCAATTGACTTATCATTAAGTGCCTCAAAAAGGCCTAGACAGAGAGACTTCAATTCTGCTGCTGACCCCTGTTTTAATCCTGCCTTAGAATAAATATTATCCAAAAATTCTCTCACTGCAATAGTAAAATATTTTTCTCTTTAGCATTTTATGGCAAAAACATCATATTTTATTATTTACACATACATATTTACAAGAAAATGCATTCAATGGTGTAATTTAAATACCTTGTTTCTGTGTCATAACATCTGCAAAGCCTTTTTTCATCTGCAAAGAGTAATTTTTACTTCTATTATCAAGTAGAGTCTGAAAACGAATAAAATTCCCATGTTTATCAAAAAGTTATTTCCTGTTAACACAGATAAACCAGATTTCATGGCTAAAAGCAAACCTTATATTTTGTTAGTGTTCTTTTTATAATTTCCTTTTCCACTTGGAGTTGTGTTATTCTTTCATGAAGGTATTTATTTTCAGTAACTAAAGCATCAATGTCAACTATTGGCTTTGGTGGATCCATGTCATTACTGTCCTGGATTTTTGCTCTGTTGGATAAGATATAACTGATCTGATGGCTCAATCGTTGTACTTTGTTCTTATAGTAATCTCTGTCAGAGACCAACTCTTCTTTTTCATCCAATGTTGCTCTGTAGTCCAACTGTATTTGCTGGTACTAGAATAAAGAAAATTATTGATATAGGAACATGTGTTTCTTTTTTAATACTTGATGTTATTGTGGACAACAAACCTTCTTTTGATTTTTTTCTAGTTCATTAACTAGCTGCTCATAGTCTTTGTGAGAGTAGCTGAATATGGTTGAAGATTTTTTATTTCCATTCACTTCATCAGTAAGGTTTTCATGTTTTTGCAACTGTTTCTTGAGAGCTACTATATCCTCTTTAGCTTCCTCTAATTTGCTTTTAAGAGACTCAACCTAAAAATGACTTAACTATTTTAAATAGATGTTTGTGATTGGAGTTCAGGCTTTTAACTAGCTATGTAGATATAAACAAAATTTTATTAAAGTAGGTAGGTTTATTTAATGGCTATAAATTAACTTCATAGCTTTAGAAAAACAAAAAGCAAGTCAATGGTATTTTACCTCTAACTTGAGCATATTGTTATGGTCTTGTGTTTTAGCAAGCATCTCTCCACCACTAATAGTATTAGTAGGGGTTAGTCTATAGGAAATATTGTTAGAACCTGGGCTAGATTTCACAGGCACTGTCTTCTTGCACATCAATTGTTCTACTAACACCTTGAATCTATCCCTTTCCATGCTGCATTTGTCTAGTTCTCTGCTCATTATTGATAAAGCATCTATCTTACTTTGTAACTTACTTTTTAGAACTGAATTCTGGAATGAAAGTACAAATTAATTGTAGTCTTCTTGGGTTTTATATTAGAGTAGCAAATACGTTTTATCGTAAAAAAAATATTCAATATTCAATACCTCAAGAACATAATCGTCTAATTGTTGATCTTGAAATTTGACTTTCGTCAAAGATGATTTGTGGAACATTGTTATATGTTGACTTTTGGTATAATTAGAACACTACATAATAAACTGTTTATTTGTTTGTTTTCAGAGCGCATTTAAACGCAACGTTATCCATGAAATAGTTTTCATTCACAAACTGATAATGATAGCTGATTTCATTTCATTGACATGATTATCAGTGACATTAGTTTGTCAAATTTTACAGGGCATAGCATCTATGGCATAGAGCAAAATTTACTTTCTTGCTTAAAACCAACTTAATTTAGGTTTTTCTTTATTACGTTAAGCATTAATCAGCCAGATAATTAATTACGATGTCAAATAAAATAATTTATTTTGAGTAGTTTATTCCACCAACCTTAACCACTACTCTATTTCAAAGAGAATAGTAACTCTAGTAGTCTATTGCTTAAGACGTTTTAAAAAGTTTTGTTTTTAATCTGTGACGTACATTATTTAATTGTCAACTTGATTTAGAACAAGTGGTACAAACTACAAAGTAGTGCGGATTTTTTTCGTTTACTGCAGATGTTAAGTGAAATTAGTACTTTTATAAGCACTGAGCACTGCTTCGATGCAATGCGTGCTGGACAAACACAAAGAAGTAGGTTTCGTTCATCCTAACGCATGGCAAGGATGGCCGCGTCTGGTTCCGAAATTGATGACTTCTTGAACGGGCCTCTTGTTTCGTGGGTGAGTGCACAACGATTCGTGCCTCTGTTTTTATAGCTGTGCGCGTAAATATGAAGCGTGAGATGAGTTTGTCCAAGCGTTATATGTGAATGAATGTGGTATTTATTTATTTTGCATGATTTGTAAACGTTATTTATTTCTAGGACCATACTTATGAAACAGAATGTTGTGACTCTCGTCTCTCTGTCGTCATACTCGAGTGATCAAGTCATTTTGTAATGGATGTTTGTATGTTGTAGATGCTATGAATGTTATCTTTGTCTATTGAGTGGTTTATTCTGAAGATGTTGCTATATTGACATTATTTGTCCAGCTGTTATAATGAAGATTCGTCATAATTAATTGAAAGTTATAAATAGACATGCAATTCTTGTGTTAAAAATAAATTTGAATCAATTGAAATTGATTCAAATTTAAAATTTATTTTAGACATTGAAAAATAATAATTACTTTCTTATGATAGTTACTGCCATGTATTTTAAGAGATAGCTGTTTATTTATCAGTGCAGAATATAAAAATACTTCCCACAGCTGTTCATTGATGCATTGTTGGTGTGTGTTACCATTGAGACAAGAATACACCATCTTCAGTTCTTAGAGAATTTATTCACATAATCTTTTATGAATGTTCCTTTGATCATAGATGTAAAAAATCAAACTTTCTATTTTAGTGTACATCATGCTATCTCTTGTAAAGTTTTTTAATAGAGGCATTGTGCAGAAATAACACATACAACAATTTGTTGTAACTTGTTTAAAATTATATTTGTAAAGAATTTAATTTTAATTTAAAGTTAAATTTCCAGCTAAAGTCATGTCTTCCAAGTCCAGATGCTGTCACAGAGTATTCATCTCTGTTCAATGGAGACATCTTACATCAAGTGTACCTTCAGATAGACCCGGAGCCATCATGCCATATCACAAAACTTGCTGGGCTGGAAGACCAAGCCCTGATATTAGGTAGAGTAAAGAACTTTGATGCCATTATAAAAAATGTGAAAAGTTTGTATGAAGAAGAGCTTGGTATGACACTCTTGGTTGTTCCTGAATGTATATGCTTGGGAAAAGCACCAGAATCAAGAGAGGGCCTGGAAACCATGAAGCTTTTGATCTTGCTTCTCCTTGGTGCAGCAGTACAATGCCCTAACAAAGAACTATTCATCACCAGAATTAAAGAACTCAATGTTGATCTGCAGCATAATATTGTGGAATGCATTAAACAAGTAAGAATTTTATTTTTATTTTTTCTTTTAAAGGCCATATTTAGTGAGCAAATTGCACACAATTTTCTTACTTGCTTCTTATTTTTGTTGAATGTAAAGCAACCCAGTAGACTTTTATCTATATTCAGTTTTCTAAAACATATTTTGATTAAGAGTTAAAATCTGAGTAGGTATCTGAATATCTTATTTAGGTTTGAATGAGGACTAGTGAACAAAATAATTGACACTGACAAAATAAAATATGGCTATTCAAATTTGGGTACTAATTCATTTGTTATGTCGCCAAGGCCCTTTGAGGTTCCATTGAGGTGTAATTTATGGATTAAGAAGTCAGTCATCTATGTATAAGGAAGTGTTCACACATACATAAGCCAAGCATGTCTCACAGTTAGTATACAACTGATAATAGAACCAGTGAAGCATGACTTGACTCACAATTGTCTTACACAAGTTTTAGTTGTCATTATACATGTTACTTTGAATGTTTACTTATTTGAATAAGCCAATTATTATTTGTTGTGGTAATTTTTGTTTGAAGGAAATTTAAATTATTATGATATATATATTTTGCTCACAGGCACTGCTATTGGTGTATTAGAGTCAATCTCTGTTTCATTTCACTTCATGGGTAGATACTGCTCAGTTCTATCATAAAATCATCTTACATGACAATAGTAGAAACTTGATTAAAGATCTAAGCTAAGGATTTTACTTGTGACTACTGCTTCTGCAGCAAAAAAAATAACACATCTTAGGTTTAGTATAAAAATATTGGCAAATAGCTGTTATGCTGCTTATTCAACTTTCGTAAACAGATATTACAAAGTCACAATAAACTGTTAAGTAGAATGTCCATGACAAATCTTCAACATGAGTAACTGGTTGTCAAATATTACGCAAAGTTGGCTGTCCTAATGGTACTACAAGTCAAGTACACAGTAGAATTTAATAAGTAGTATGAATGTATGATTTTTTTATTATGTTCCGAGTTTAGCAGCTTGGTAGTCACATTATTTCAAATATGTGATTTTTTATGTTTGTTTAGTTAGATAAAAGAAAAATATGGACATTCAAATAAATATGTCATCATCTCTATTACTGATCAATTCTCAGATTTTAACAAAACAATGATACCGAAAGATTTCTTTAATTCCCTACAAAAACATACCATACTAATAATGTTATTTTTGAAGGTTACAGACATGCAAACTGTGGTATTGACGCCAGACGCCATCGATCTTTTTCAATCACCGACAATGTTTAATCACATGCGTCGGCTAGCTAAAGAACGCGATCACTACCTACAAAACTGGGCTTCCTTAGTACTTCACGAAGGTTTGTGTGAGAATGACAATGAGAACAAAAATGGAAAGAATAGGTCTACACAGAATGTCAATCAAAATAATGGCGATAGTCAACATCTTGCTGTGGAGCTGGCAGATTGGAAAGCACGTCTGAGGAAGCAAAGACAAGAATTGTTAGTATTTTAAATGTGACAAAAGATAAGCAAATATACAAATGGACATTAAAATTAGGCAATTCCTTTTATCAAATGAAATAATAACATTTTCTTGCTATAAATACCTAACTACACTTTTAATTTGCTATCTAATTATAATAATAATAATAGAATAGTCACGATAACCGTTTTGTAGGTGGCCTAATTATTGTCTGTTCGTTTTATTCAATTATATATATTTTGTTTCAATTGCATTTACAAACAACTTGTGTCGTGATACATATGTTTAATGTTATGAACTACATTTTAGGGAGGAAAAATCCGAACAGTTGTCCGAATGTCGGGAAGAATTAGAACACACCAAGCTAGTGCTAGCCAAGTTACGCTCTGACAGCCAAGAATGGTTCAATGAAGCTAGAAAATCAGCAGGCTATAGAGATGAGGTTGATGCCCTCAGGGAAAAGGCTGAGCGATGTGATAGGTAAGTCAAACTGGCTTGCAACAAATAGGCAAAAACATTTAAATAGGAACTTAATGATAAAAAAGCAATATTTTCTGTTAATAGGCTAGAACAAGAAATCCAGCGCTACCGTGATCGTCTGGCGGACGCGGAGTACTACAAAACTAGAGTTACAGAACTCCGTGAAGATAATAAAGCTTTAATGGAAACAAGAGATGCCTTAGAAGAACAACTACAAAGGGCACGGAAACGCGCCGAACAATGCCTTACTTTAGAGGCAGCTATGATCAAATTAAAGAGGGAAGCTAATGATATTGCATTGGTAAGTTGCTCATTATTTTTTTTTTAAGATTTTTTAAAATCAATCTCTAATGCTTACATTTCACATAATCCACAATATTCGTGTTTTAAGGAAAGAGATGCAGATCAGCAGAAAATCCAGGAACTTATTGAAGAAAACAATCATCTGCAATATATAACAAAATCAGTATTAAGTGAAAGCAATAATAGTAATTTAGATACGGACAACGAAGGCGAGAGCACGCTAGAATCTGGCGAGAATAGCTTATCAGAACAATTGACTAGTAATGCTCAAGCTAGGGCCTTAAAACTAGAACTTGAAAATAAAAGACTTTTATCAACTATAGACAGCCTTCGAGAACAAACGTTACTAGAGAGTAGCGATAAAGTACTTGAGCTAGAAAAGGAAAAGAAAAGATTAACTCTAAAATGTGAACAGCTTCAGGAAAACTGTAACAGACTTATGCAACAAAACTCTGAGTTAGAAGAAGTGTTCCGAAATGCTCTAGAAGAAAATAGAAAGTTACAAGATTCATTTGATAGCCAAAAGACATTTATAGATCGGCAAGCTATTGATAGAGATTCAGAAAAGAACAAATTACAAGATTTCGAAAAGCATTTGGAATCTATAACCAAAGATAAACAAAGAATTCAAATGTTATGTGACTCTATTCAAAGAAGAGCAGATGAACTAGAAAAGTCTTTGGATGCCAGAACCAAAGAGCTGAACATTTTAAAGCCTGAAGCTGATAAAGTCACTGGCCTCATAATTCAAACCGAGGAATTAAAAACGAAATTAACATACAGTGAAAGGGACACACACAATTTGCAGAGAGAAGTTAATAAGTTACGAGAAGCTGTTGAAGAAAAAGATGTATGTCTTGATAAACTTACAACCGAAATTGAACTAAAAAAGAAGGAGTTGGAGAGATTAACAAGAGAATTAGAAATAAGTCACACTATGACAAGCAAACTTCAAGACTTGGAACAAAAGACTCAAGAGCTTAAATCACAAAAGAAAGTAGACTCAGAAACTATTCAAACATTGCAGAAAGACCTTATTTCTGAAAAGGTCAATTTTGATAAACTAAGAAATTGTATGGATAAACTTGGCATTAATGCAACAGAAATATTAAGTAGAGATGTTAGCATAGAAGATTTATTGGAAAAGGTCATCACAAATACTGATCACGAAGGATTGATATCAGAAATAGCAGCTAAGGCTAACTTAATGAAATTGGTTCCATGTGATTGTAACCATGACAATATTAACGTAAATACTCATGATGACATAGTAAATCCTCAAATAGAGCAGCTTACGTCAGATCTTGCGACATTGCAGGCGTCACTAGAAAGCAGTCAAGCTGAAAATGCTAAACTGCAAGTAAACATTGCAACTTTAAACTCTCAGAATGGTTCGTTGATATCTCAACAAATGACTTTACAGCTAGCCAATAGCCAACTTGCTGCTGAAAAAGAAGAGATTATCAAACAGTTGGAAGTTTTAAAGGATAAACAAGACAACCTTCTGCGTGATCAAGTTGCTCTACAGACACTTCATGAACAACTGAATACTGAATATGAAACCCTGCTTAGTGAAAGAGAACCTGTTAAAATCGCTGTCAGAGATCTAAAACTTGAAAATCGTGAATTGAAAGAAAAGTTGGCACAGTATGAGAAAAAGGTGTCAGATTTCGAAGCAGAAAGAGAAAACTTAAAAATTGAGTCCAGAAACCTAGTTAACCTTAGAGCTGAGCATTCTAAACTTAAGGACGACTTCAGGAACCTCTTTACAGCAAGTGATAGACTGAAAAATGAATACAGAAATATGCAAGAAGAATATAGAAATCTAAGGAGTGAAGTTACTCAATTGAAGTTAAGGAATACTGAGATATCTGGTGAAGTCAACACTAAGGTTGAAATTATTACTAGTATGGAGTTAGAAATAAATAAGACTAATCAACATTGTGAGATGTTAATTCAAATGAATAAGAGTTTAGATGCAGACAGGCGTTCATTGATGGATCATGTGTCACAACTGTTGACTCAATATCATGAACTACTTGCTCACTCACTAAAAGATAAACAACATTATCATGAAGAAGAAAAGATGTTTGCAGATAAAGTAAATGCGTTGTGTCGTCAGAAAGAAAAATTAGAAGAAAAAATTATGGAACATTACAAAAAATTGGATAACTGCACTACAAAAAGACGTGGTTTTGGTGCGTCATTTGTCAAAAGGGTGCGTAAAGCTGGAACAGATTTAATAAATAAAGTGCCAACAAGAAACAATAAACGAATTGAAGACGCGAGTCGATCAAAATCTCAGCTTACGTTGGCTGGATCAGAATCGGGTGAATCAGATCCTGGTAGTCAAGAGTTAGAAAAAATTTCTAAAAGTTCTGATCAAGATCAAGGCTCTTCAAATCCCAGTGCAGAATCCCCAAGGCATAGCATAGATTCTAGTTTCACAAGAAGATTTGATGACAAACTATTGAAAAAATCGGATAACATTGACATGAGTGGATCAATTCCAAGTTTGGATTCAACTAGATTGACCAGTGAAAGTAATTTTGTGCGAAGACTTTCTGGAACATCAATACACAGCGGCGGAGGCGACGATGCGCTTATCAGAGCATCGTTGAGAAGACGACCACATAAAGCAGTTCCACCAACGCACAGAAATAGTTTCCAAGGTCTAGAAGGTGACACAGTACTGCCGGCAGGTAAATATAAAACATTGGTTTTCTTATCAATTATTCTAGCTTTCATAAAAATAGTATTTATTTTGACCTTATTACAAATTTTCCAGCTTCAACACCAACTCCATTTGGTACTGCAGGGACGAGGCGTACGGTGTACGTAGCAGATGAAGATGCTAGTGCTAATTTGAATACTAAACCACAAAGTACGCCTATCAAAGAAAATCCAACTTACTTGGTATACAATCGAATTTCCACTGTAATTGGTGATGGAGCCTGTCAAAGCATGAACGATCGACCACCCACAGATCAACACAGGTCAATGTCAGAACATCCGAGAACTGCAGTAGAAGAGAGCTTGCCGGAAAGAGACGACCTAAGGAATGATAGAAGATCTATAAATCGGAATGAGAAAACTGATAACTCGAAAGAATCTGCAATTTGGTACGAGTATGGTTGCGTATGAGGTATTTTTTGAATGTTTATTAACTAATTTAGGAAGGATGTTTGAAGTATAATACAGACTGATGAGATGCCTTGTATTTTGATATTCGATATGATCGCGCGGTTGGAATATTGCATACATGCTTAAGATAAATTGGCAATGTTTTGATAATGTGATAAAATACATTGTACTTTATTTTGAAACCAGTATTAGTTGGCATTTAATTTGTTGATATGGGTGACAATAAATTTCCTGTTTAGCTTTAAAACCTGTAACGTAAACATCTATGACACAACAAATATCAGTAAATGTTAGACAGCATAGTATATAAAATTAAGTTTTCGTAGTCTTGATGCAGCAGCAATTAAGGCAGCTTATTATTTTGAAATAATAAAATTAAGTACAAACTTAATTTATTTAAAAACAAAACGTACGAATGATAGTTAGACACTTATAAAAAGATGATGCTTGATATTTATTTCAAACTTTAATTTCTTCCCAAAACTAATTAAGAAGAACAGTTTTTAAATATATCTTCCAATAGAATCATGTTACTAAGCTACTAACAGGGCCACAAGGATAATGCGGCCTGTTTTTCTTCTTTTACAACATTTATGCTTAGTTAGAAGTTATTTTACTGTAATTGTAGCATTAACAAACCATATACTATAAAACTTTTTAAAAGTAACGATGTAATAGCAACGTAGCTTGCTACAATAGTGGAATTTTATTTTACAGGACCAAATAATTTAATATTTTAGATTATATCAAGTTTATTAACATGACTTTTTGAGACTAATACTCAATCTTATTTTGAGGCTATACATCTTATCAATAAAAATATGTAAATCTTTTTTATTCATGTAAATATAAGTTTAATGTTTAGTTTTATTAAAAAAATACCGCTATTTTGTGATGTTTTCTAAGTTTATATTTCCTTGCCAGTGATATCTGTGACTTCTGAAATACGTAATATTATTGTATTATCGTTTCTCAGTGAATGTGTTTGATAGGCGATCTTTCCGTACTCTATGTACCTCAGGCTACTAAATGTCGAAAAGATATTACACACATATTTATGTAGACTACATCATTCTAAATTTAATGAACATAATGAAATCTCGCGAAGGAATATCCAGATCAATATGACTGTAATTTTATAGAGTACTAAGTTAAACAAGGAAGTTCTTCAAATTGATATTTATATAATCTAAGCAAAATAAATTACATTGATAAATTGGTTTTATTAATTTACAGTGATAAAGGTAGAATGAAAACTTTAGGATGAGAATCGAATTGGTACTGAATGCTTTGAATTTAAAACATTTCTCGTTTAAAATAGCACTCTGTATCTATGTTACATAAACATTGCTTATGAACAAAATAATAATATGATGTAATACTGAGCTTATGACACATGTATTAGGTAAAGTTATGTATTCTATCCAAATACTGGCAATCTATTAAGTTTACCATCAGCTTTTGGTACATATTGTATGATGTCAAATACTTATATTATGTGTGTCAAGTTCTTATGTACAAATATACATATAATATTTGTATATCATATTTTAAAGTACTTAGTGTACCTATTTGGTATGTTTATTTTTAGTTTCTTTTTATGAAGAAGTTTAACACATTCAGTGCCCCCGACGCGTATGTGCGTGCGAGGAAACGCACATACCTACGCGTCGGGGGCACTGAATGTGTTAATAATATTACAGTTACATTACATTAATCTTTATTGTCATATTGTCGCACATTTTGTTCCAGTACAAACACACGTAATACGGCAAATTATGTTGCATCAAAAGGTACCACCTTTGCGATCATAAATAGATTAAGTTTATTGTGTTAATGACTATCTCTCTCTCTGTAAATCTTTTTTTCCTTCAACTATAATAATTATTAATCGAATTATGGATATTCATTTTAAATTGAATTTACTTAGCAGTTGAACACTTTATAGCAGCAAGTACATTATTGTTGTAAACTAGTGCCTTTGGATGCCCCATAAGTAATTTAAATGAATTGAATGTTAATATTTGTTTATTGGTACTAAAGATGGTGCTTTTCATCACTGTGATGACATCATTACAGAAAATTGTTTAAATGTAATTATTATATTTATTTGATAAAGCCAGCTTTTGAGAAAAGTATGCCTATAACTTCCAAATTCTGTAGTAATAACAGAAGTGAAGGCCAATTTTTCTAAAATAGACGAAGCACAAAAATGTACTGATTTATTAGTTATCTATGGACATAGCATGACTTATGATTTTAACTCCATTTATTTAATAATATTTGTAATTTACTTAATTATAGTAAGGTACTTAATAAATGCCTCTCACCGAATTTATATTTTAGCACACACATTTAACTTCTCGAATACAAGTCTTAGTAAACATTTTATTTTGTTTTCTTTTATAATATCCAAAATTTGATAGTACTAATTTTCCAATCATAGATATTGCAAGATTTTTTTAAAATAACTCCATTTTCTTCATTACTGGGGACAGGAATACAATTTTATATATTATTCCCTATGAGCACAACTGGTGGACACGGTACAACTTTTTGAAATACCCAGTTACATTTTTTGCATACAAAACAGCTGAAAATAAATAAAAAGCCATTATATGGTACTATGAACTTTATTTTCTAACTGCACTTCACATTTTTATGTAGTTGTGCTTACATTTACATATATATATTACATTATTCTAGAAGAGATCCATTACATCCAGACTCTGCTTTTACCTCCCATTTCACAGGACACGGTTGCATGGAGAGTTTGAATGATTGTCCTGATACAACTGCCTTCTGGCCTGGTTCCACTTTATGTGGTAGATAAGAAATGATGCACTGAAAATTTGTACAAAAAATTGTAATAATCATGCAAAAAACATTAAATGATAAAACATGAATGTTGTTCAAATACCTTTGGTTTGTCATTTTCCGTTGACATGTACCCAATACACATTGTTTTTGTAGTGTGACCCCAAAGTAATTCTCCTTCTCCATTCAATGCATCAAATTTCAAAGCAAGGGTTCCACCCAGCCTATCTGGGACATCCCATAAAAAAGGTGACTGGAGAAAATTTTCTTTCAAACATTTATCAAGTCCTAAAACCGGAGAAGAGTCAAGCAAGCTTTCTGCAGAATTTTTAGCTAGCTGTGTTCGGATCAAATGTTCCCCACATCCAGAAGTGCAAGAGGCCACTGAGGGTTTTGTGCCATCCCTGCTCATTACTGCCCAAACTCCACTGCCAAAAGATGCAGCTTGGCCAACTCTACCTTCATGCTTCAAGGAAACACCACCAGAACTAGCTCCAGAAGCAACAACACCATTGGAATCCACACAAATTGCCCCAACAGTGTCTAAAGGGCTAAATTTAATATCATTTTGTATGGAGTACCTTTTTAGCTTTCTTTTACAATGTTTATAGTTTCGAAATGCACGTGCTGAGACCATTTTGTGATCTTCTACAATTTCAAGACCTAGCCTTTGAGCCCATGACCTTGCTCCTTGTCCAGTAAGTATGCAAGGAGGAACTCGGCCCAAAGATAAGTTATCACACTGTTTTATGCACAACTGTTTGGCTAATGTAATTGGATTCCAAACATTTGATACAGCCCCACATGCACCAAAATGCAAAGTTTGACCATTCATGAGTGAAGCATCACATTCTACAGTACCATTCCAACTTAAGTTTGATCCATAGCCAGCATTAGTCAGAGGACTATTTTCTAATTCTGAAAAGTACAATTTTAAATAATTAGAATGTGAAAAATTCACAATAACTTGTGTACAGATTTGAATTCCAATTGGAATAAAAAATCAATAGAAATTACAAACCTATTATGGCCTTTTCTACAGCATCTACGGCATTACCACCTTGCTGGAGAGCAGTGGCAGCTTTCCTGCATGCTAAATAACAAGTTTTTTGATATTCCTTTTTCAAGGTATCACTGTGATATCCAGCGCCTGAAATTCGTTAAAGACTTTAGTAGATTCCACAAGAATAGTTGTACCATTATTATTTAATATTTCAATTTGTTTTAAGTCATAAAATAAGAAATTACCACAATGCACTGCTATAAACCCATTCATTATTAAATAGGTAGGTATTCCTGATAATTAATATTTTTTTTTTGTTTACACTGTTAAATACACAGCAATGTATCACCTAGTAGTTTTTAAAATAATTAATATCTTCATGTTTTAATGTGTAAAATAATAGGAACTAAGTGGGAGAGCGTCAACAAAAACAAAAATAATTGATTGAACTGTTGAACTCATTGAACTTTTTACTATCTGACATTTAAACCTTGTGACAGTGAAATGAATGAATTATAAGAAAAATGAATGAATAGTCAACGATCGATCCGTCTTACAGCGCATTTTTAAGTTTTGAGTAGTGGTTATTTGGCTAACAGATATTGTCACAAATAGGCAATAAATTTTTTAATTAAATTATAACAATCGATAATTCTACAACGTAGATTGGTTATAAAGTCTGAGAATGTTGTGTTGTTTTTTAATCCTTTGTACATTTTCAATAAAACGGTATAATTATACGATATAAAGCATTAATATTCCTAATTAAAGAAATCTAGAACGTAGCCATACCGATATAAACAACACCCAATTTACCTTAAAACATCCTGCTCTGGCCTTAACCAAATATTTCTGGGATTACATTTATTAACTGGGCAACAATATAATCAATACAACAGACAAGTTTCCTTTATTCGCAAACTCTTATTATTGCTTACACAACTTGTTTTGCCTGAATAATCTAATAATAATAACCTGAATTCCCACCTGTACCTATAAATGCAAAAATACCATCATAAAAAATAAATAAACATTAAAAGATTACATAGGCTTATTATTACCATTTATTTGCAACTAAACATTTTTATTCATCAAAATTTACATGATAGTGGGTAGTTGAGCATGATGATATTTAGTCTAAAATTTTCCTCAATATTCTTGCTTTATCGTACAGTCCTTTAGAATAGAACTCTGTAGAATTAAATATAAAGCACAAGTGCTGTAGTTTAAGTTAGTCCATTGTATAATCTTGAATACATTGATAGATTCCTCAAAGTCCTAATACAATAATTAAAAATTTGTGAACTTTTAAACCTTTCAATGATTTAATAACATTATTTTATACTGTGATGTTATATATAAAAATAACTCAGTTGGGATTTATCTTTTTAATAAAAATACTACTATAATATCCATGATGTCTTATTGAAAGTTATTAGAACAAAAATATCCAATAAATAGCAGAACTACTTTGTTAGACTTTTCCCAGTTGTCATCATAACACCAACAACTAAAGCAGTGATAGTGAATCCTTGTGCAACTATTCTGAGCCGCATCATTTGTTGAGACATCTTTTTGCGTCCTGTCCTGAAGCTCCAAAGTCCATAAGACAGAGCACCTGCTGTGGCAAAACATCCTGGAACATGACAAATTATTTTGTGTTGGCACTGTAATTTTGTTTGATGTTTAAAAAATTAATTTATTCTAATGCACGAAAAACATTGAGCAATACTTTGTCCAAATTAAGGTATTGCATAAGTATCTTATTTTAATAGGTACTAAATTTTTTATTTTCAACAGGGTACCTAAAAATTAACAAATAAAATATTAAAGATTTGCATAATTTCAACAAATATATTCTACAGTCATACCGATGGGAACGAAAGGATTCTCAGAAAATTTTCTTCCGAATTTTTCACTTGTTGTTTCAACTTGCTGGTGCGCTCCCATCTCTTTTCGGAGTTGCACCCAATCCAGATCAGTGGGTTCCTCATTAGACATCATGGAGAATTCTTTAAAAATTTAATGAGGTAGTATTATTGTGAGTTTATGAGTATCAACAGTTTGTTTTTATTGCATCGCAAATGAATTCACTTGTCAAAAATAGGTAGGTAACCTAAAAAAACCCTATGTCAAAATTGACTTGTCAGTTTTATCCATAGAGGATATAAAATATGTCATCACACCGTAGCATCGCACGAAGTCAGCTGATTTAATGATCAGCGAGTCAATTAACTTATTTTTATAGTATAGTTTACCGCTCAGTTTTAGGGTTCAAACTGCACTCAATATTACTGTATTTATTGCAATATACTTCATTTCACGTAACTTTTTGTAAGCGAATATAACTGAATACTTTCATTCCTTATCTGTTGATGACACCGAACACCATTTGTCTATGGCTTTACCAAAATGCCAGGCTAGGTGGCCATGTTTGATTGTCTGTGTTTTATTTGATGGTTTCGTTCGTACATTGGGTGTTTCGTAAACTCGTTAGAATGCTGAAAATTATTTGCTCCTCGGAAATTATTCTTGAAACTGTAAGTAATATCGTTTTGTAATGCGTAATAATTAATTATAACAATACAGTGGTATTGAAATATCTGGTGATATATGTTTTATGTGGTGAAACAAATTAATTTTGGTGATCCGGGTATATTTTTCTTCATCGCAGCATGCATTTTATTTATAAACATGTACGTGGAGTGCTTGGTCAATAAAATACTAGCAGTGCATAATCTATCTGATTTCCAGGTAGTAATAATGGTGTCGAATGTCTACGTGGTTAATTATTTGTTCGTAACTGGAACATGTGTTATTTTGCGTGTACCAATAATTATATTGTAATTGTCGTGACATTGAAATTAACATTACCGTCTCGTGGGTTTGCCTCGTGATGGATTTGTATTGCATTGATGTACATACGTTGCAGTTATGCAATGTACTTACGTACACCTAGTACTAATAGCATACTAGTGATACGAACATAAGAAATCAACGGTTCATCTAAACTTAAGTATAATTAATGAGGAAATGTGACAACATTCAGACATAGGTCTTTGTTTTGTAAACTTATTACTTTATTTTGTTGTTGTTGTAGCATGTAAGGTCAGTAGGTAGCCTTGGGGGCGGATTTTTTAGGCTTAAATTGATAAATGTTATGACTGAACCCAAATAGTACCTCACAAAAATAAAAACAAATACAAGTCTGTTTACTGCATGTGGTGTGGTGATTTTTGTCCATTACAATTTTGATGTAATTCAATTTAGTTGTCATTTGCAGTGCCAATGACAATTTTAAATGAAAACTGTTTATTTGATCCATTAGCTTCTAAAATTCTATTGCCTATTGTGTTTGAGCAGGTTGTTTGTTTGTTTGTTTCACATTTAGACTGACTATAAATTCAATAAATTACTCACAAGATTTTATTCGCAAATTATAACATACTTTCATTGTTTACCGAAATTCAGTTTGGTTTTGCATGTGACTAAATCATGACTGATATTACATTGATAGCCTTATGGCAGTGTTGTACTTACAAATGATTTACAAGGAAAATGTAACTCATACTGACTTTAGTCACATCCTAACACTCATATGTGTCACTCTAGTTAGTAACATATAACCAGGCCAAGGTGTGTTAAGTTGTTAACTTAAAAACAATATTGATTTTGTGTGGTTTATAAGATGAGTGTAATATAAAACTAAATTATTTACTTGGATTCTTTTAAGTGTTTTTGTTGCTCTACAACTAAGAAATTAACATTATACAAGACTAAAATTTAAATAAAGTGATGCCATTTTTTGTTTCAGATGGCTTCATCTTCTCTTTCAATGAAGTCTAGTGAACCCCAGGTGTCTTGAGCACTACTTAGTTAATTAATTTAGTTTAATAATTTTCTTGTTATTAATAAAATAAAATCTTTAGTTTTTTTCTTGTTTCGTAATGTTGTCAACTGTTATTGCCAACTGAAACAATCTTATCATTTCTGCTCAAGATAAAATATCATTCAGTTTTTAGTGTATGTTCAAGACAGTTGTCTTTTTATTCTCAGAAATTAAGTAAGTTTATTTGATTTTCCCCTTTTTTATCATACTGACATTATAATGGCTTCAAGTGACCCTGAGATTAAGGATGGATTCACACTTCCTGCTTGGATGAAAAGTAAACCAGCCAAGTGAGTACTACCCTTGTTATTTAATATCACTTTTATTGTAAAGTTAGTGCAGGTTTCTTTTCTGAAGTATTGTTTTAATATTTTTATTACTTGCTTGTGGTTTCAAGAATTCAAAACGAAATAATTAGTCAGGAAATATTCGGAATTATCAAAATATTATAAATCAGCCCCAACATAAACATTGCAGAATATAAACAGTATTCCAAGGCACTTTTCCTTGACTGCCATGTATAAGAAATGAATCATAGCATGGCATTTTTAGTTAATTTGATGCCATTACAGGAAAGTGCTTATATTACTGTGAAGTTATTGCTTTATTAAATTTTATTGCATTTATCATTATATGAAAGTTTCAAAGCATTTCATCTTATTGCTGATATTTTGCTTCCATTATGTATATTTATAACTCACTTTGTGAATTGCTTTTAGACTAGAGTGTGTTTGCAGTAACCAAACTAAAATAGATTGTGTATAATGAATGCACAACTACGTATTTGGCACACTTTAAATAGTTTTCCTGGGTGATTAGAAGAATGTTCTATTGCTTTAGAAATTAGATGTAATTTCCTCATGTGCCTTTTGCGTGAATAACTTTTGTGGCTGGAACACTAGAACACAAGTTTTTCCCTAATTCTTAACCAAGTAGAGAGATTTTGTTTTGTTATGTGAGTTTTCCTGTATATATGATACATGTGAGTTATGTATAAAGTATGTACTTAGACCTATAGTTATACATTTAATTTCTTTTCTACCATTACCACAAAGACATCCAGGTCTTGTAAATGGTATTTTTTTCATTTGTTAACTTGTCATTTCTACCTTTTAAAGAGAAATCAACAACAATATATCACAATAAATAACCCAAATCTGCGATCACTCATTGATAAAAACATAAATAAGTACATTTCGCAATTTCTTTAAGAAGCTTAACTGTTTCCAAGCGTAAATAATTAAATGTGTGGCATGTGATAAGATATGACGTCAAGCAGAGATTGCTTTCTATAATATAAATGATTAGTTTGACACTCTATGGATGGACTGAATGTAAAAATAAAATGGTAGCTTGAAATCGGAAAAATTGACAAAATTGAATAAAATAAATAAAACAATTGCAATACACAAACCAAATTCTTTAGCTTAATAAAATATTTGTAATATATACAAGATCAGAAAGATATCTCGTTATAGTTAGACTTGGCAAACTACCAAGACTGAAAGTCTGAGTGAGAAACTGTACAGAGTCAAATATGTATATAAGTCAAAAATATTATACAAAAAGTAGTGTTTGTATACACAAAACACAACAACAATTATTATGCTACAAATTACTTCAGGTATTTTCCATTTGACGCAGCAGGAAATCCCTTGTTTACAGTGTTGTCATAGCCGTCAATGAGTTCTAAAAAGTGCCTCAAAGCAACTGCTATACTACCGCTACTATAACACTCGACTTGCGATCCCAAAGCTAGAACTTCATAGTGTTATGTGTAACAACTCTTTACGTTTCGTTGTTAAATAAAACATTTACTTAAGGTCAAAGAGAACGGGTACTCTAACTATTAAATGCCCTTCGCGTGTAGCATAAATACATGTTTAATTACTTGTAACGTCAAATTGTATGTCGTAACATCTTTATATAGTTGCATTTGTAAGTTTTTACACGTCACTTTCTTTTAAATAATGGCTAAAAGTAGAATATGACTGTAGGATATTCTGGAGTTATCTAATCAGTGTTTTTAGTTGTTGTCATCACTGATCGTTGAGGCACGATTATTTGCATAAAAGTTAGCACTTCTGCTTATAGAAATAACTTGTTTTGATTTCTTAATAATACCTGGCTGGCGTGGAGGCTTGTCCCGACGTCACGACATACCTGTTTCACTTGTTTGTCTTTGTGACTTGTCCTGGTTGACCTATGCCGTTTTTGTATACGAGTAGAAGAAACTTATTCCAGCTTTAAGTAGGTTAAAACAAAATATTTTATACATTACTTATTACGTTTATACAGAGAAGGATAGGTAAAGAATAGATAGATAGCTAAAAGATGAAATAATAAAATAAAGTGAAGGTTGTCCATAAAAAAAAATACGAGAAAATGATTTTTTTACTTAATTAAGAGAAAAAAAAGTAAACGGAATGTTCTCGAATTATGTCATTGTTTGTATAAGTAAGTATACTAAAAATAAAGATACCTAATAGTGGGTAGGTGGCCTATTAAATCATCGTTTGTGTTGGTAACCAGTAAATTGTATTAACTAGTTGACCACGTAATTGGTACGAGTACAGTAATTGGAAATACTTTTTAATCATCAAATTCTTATGCTGAATAGACATTCCTAATACAAAATACAGGCACTTAATTTTCACTGTATGAATGTTTCTAACATCGACAATGTATATCGCCAAGTAAAAAGAAAACCCATAAATGTTCTAGACATAGGCGCGTTAGTTATATCTTCGTTTAATGAAAAATAAATTTATAAACTCACAAATTAAATGACAATGGCAAATTAGGATGAATCGTTTAAATGCCAAAGAGTTTAAATAATAGTTTTAATCCTGCTGGTGCTTTATGATTTATTATTTATATCGTAGTACTGATGCATTATTTGAATAATTTTATTTGTCTTTGTTATTGTATTGTGAGTACACAAAGTTGTTAGAATATTTACCACTTATTTAGAAATAAATAGAAGGTATAACTTTGCATTGACGTCACTTGGTCTATTTTCATTATAAAATCAATAGAAGTTCATAACAAAACGTAGAAAATTTGTTTTACAAACACTAAAGTCAATGGCTGTGAGGTCAACGTGAATGTAGTCAACATTATAAAGATGCGCGTAAATAAATATATGTTTTACTTAGATTTGCCATGTCCATATTCCTCTGGTCATTATACTTGCAATTAGTTAATGTTTCGTTAATTGTTATTGCAAAATGCCATTTTAAGTACACGACAAAACTCACATCATTTGGTACCCTGAATTTTAGTAAATATTTTGAAAGGTAGATAAAGTAAATATGTATGACGCGACACGATCAATCTCTTCGATATGTCGTATAAAGTGAACGTGCAGGTGGATAGTATCATAGTACACTCAAAAACAAAAGTCTCTCGAAATTAAATCACATTACACATCATCAGCTTATAAGTTGCCCACTGCCGAGCAAAAGCTTTTTCTCACACGAAGGAATGAGCATTCTTCGTGTGAACTCCTTATAATAAGAAATTATCAAGTCCAGGTGTCTACACCATATTTCGCTTCTCTGTGTATGTGTATTTTGTTAGAAAGCATAATATCGATTAAATGTTTTCTCAAAATAATGCCAATTAAGTTTACCATTTATTACTTATTTGGTTTCATGCCAATATAACCATGTTAATATTGCATTGCAGTCATTGTCTGTAATAAAGTAAGTAGTATTAAATATTGCGTTTGTTACAATATCGGAAATATTCCACGAGGCGACACTTGTATGAAGTTTATAAACAAGTAGATCCTCCGCAGTGCAACATAGGTCACTCACGCCCTATGATAAAGGTGTTAAGCACACACTTTGTGTAAATATGGAAAAAATATTTTAAATTATGCAGGCATTCATTTGGTTGCACAATTTTCCAATGTCAGTGGCCAGTCGGCGTGGAAACATTATGGGCTAAGGTTAATTTTACCTTTACACGGCCATTCTAATATTTGTCTTAGCCGTTTGATTGGTTTAAACAGAAATGTTGTAATGAGACATTCAATCGAATTGGATTAGGGCTCGGCAATGATGCCGTCCTACACGACCGACACGAAAAGGTCATGTGAATTCGTGATTAACTTTTAGTTGTTCTATGAAAACCTAAACATATAGAATCATACTTAAAAGACTGCTGCAAAATCTTTCGATGCTCTAAAGAGTTTTATAATGATTAAGTTATTTTATAGTTTAGAACTACCGCAATCTATTGTTTGTGGTGTTTTTTTGTGAGGGACCAATTAGCAAATTACTTGTCTCGTCCAGGTTAAGGCGAGAGGCGGAGTGTCAAACTGACTAACCCCCCACCCCTCCATTCCTTCTCCTGCTTCAGGCCGAAGCCATGGTACCCTATGTACCATACATATGTACTTACATAGTTATGGTCACAATATTAATAATATGCTTTGTATTTTTTTTTAGGATTTCCGATTGAATGCATTTTTAGGTTCGGTTGTACATGATGTCATACATTTTTGTCATTGTCATTAAATTATATAAATACATAATCGTAATCTGGGTTTGTCCGATAGGTAGGTACAATGATTTATCGAGAAAAAAGCTGTTTGTATTCTATCATTATCACAAACTGAAAAGGCATGTCGTCATTTTTTTTTTTTTAAATGGAAACGTTCTGCTTTTGGCGTGCAGCAGTAAACGAATGTTCAAATAATACATATAAACGAACTCTAACCACTATCGTAGTAAGATTAAGGTTATTCGGAAACAATCGAATGTTTATTTATTTCTTTATAGTTCAATTACACTTATATTTGCAGAAAATCAATTGCGTTTAATCAGATTCCGACTCCTAAGAGTGCTTATTCATTGAATTTTTTGACTTCGATTGACTTCTTAATCGCAATGTCAATGTTTTTAAGATTTTACATACCTATTTATTCTTGTAATCTCGCCCACACGTATAGCGTTATCAGTCTTCGTGTTATAATAACTTTGTTATGGAGATAAATTGCCTTTTTACAGCCACTAGATTTGTACTAAATTTTATTATCATGTAATATTTTGTTGTTATGATTTTACGTTATCATTATTGAGTCAATATTCTTTGCATATTTTCTTAGTTTATCGTCGAACAAAGTTGACGGCCTGTGAACTAAATATTTGAGTGTTGTATTTTAGCCTTTATTGGCGTCAAAGGTTCATTGACATATTTAAATGTAAAATCTAGTCATTGTAATCTCAGATAGTGTTTTGTACATAACTATTTATATCTACCCAAATGTCTAATTTACTTCATATCTGCTTGAACCAAAAAGTCACAAACTCTTAAAATAGTCCGAGTTTGGTGGATAACGTCATTGTTGCGCCGCGGCCGCGCCGTGCCCACTTCTATTTTAATTTGTCTTTCGTATTCTTTGCGTTGAAATGTTAATGACATCGTCATGAAAACTCAATTCGTAGAAACACAAGATCAACATTTCATACGTAGATCTTGGTGTATGTGTGTGTGTTCGTACGTAGCTACGAACTGTGCTATTCTTAGCTTTCGGTATTCATATCGACAGCTACACAACGCCATTCTCCATGATAATAACGTTCTTTTAAAAGAGGGAGTGCGCTAATCACTCGTTCTCATTGGTTACTTTATCGTGGCGTCACGTCGGCTTGTTATTTATTACACTTATTTTCAAAGTGACGTAGGCGGTCGCTGTGTGCTTATCGTGAACTCATGTGCTATCTCTAGGGTATATAAAAAGGAAAACTTGAGTGTAGCCTTTTAGTTATTTTGTTATCGTCTGTATATCGCCATCTCTTATACTTGTTCCAAAAGTTTTCTTTGATATATTTCTTCGCAATTCTGTGATATTGTAGCAAGTGTTGTGTGGATTAACGACTAATAGAAAGAGTATAATATTAATTTGTAACAATGTACAGAAAGAGGAATATGGTGGCTCAGTTCAACAACATCTTATCGTGAGTGTCGACGCCTACCTTCAGATTGACCGACAATAATATCTAACTGTTAAACAATAACTGTCCATTGTTGTATTATAACATGTTTGTTATGGTATAGTTCTTATTTGTTATCTAATCGAAAGAGTGGTGTTGTATTTAACACTAAGTCATAATTGTTTTATTTGCAGGGAGTTTGAACCTTTCGCGGGATCCCCGCCAGCTCCAGAGGACTCATTCTTCTACATCCGCTACCCCAGAACCGACGTATTGTTCGGAAAACCGAAGCTTAATCAAGACGTTCCAAAGGTTTTCGCGGAACCAACCAACGAAGTTAAAGCCGCCTCAGCTTTTAATATAGTTAAGGAGAAAGACTGGTCGAAGCATACAAAACCGTGCCAAGACGTGCTCCACGGCATTGCACCAATCAACACAGCAGGTAAAACCACTTTGTATATTTCAAAAGGTTATTGCGTGACATTGACATTGTCCGGTAAACGGCATTCGTTTTTAAATGGAATCGAATGATTAGTAAAATCATTGCTTATTATGAAAATATCATTTAAAGCTTCGACGCGGCACCATTTACATTTCCTGCTAATGTCGTTTATTTGTCATTAAAAAAACTCTTAATTGATGCATTAGTAATGCCATATCATAACTAATGATTTTAAGTAAAATTTCGGTGCTGTTTGACGATTGGGTTTTACTCAGTATTGCATTCACTTTGCGCTTTTAAGCTTAAGTCGTTCTTTCTCTGCATCATTCACCGAGGAAAGTGGAAACTATTTCTTTACGGGATCCAAGATAATGTTCAACATCCTAGAACGCGCCGTGTTTCGGTGTATTCTTCGTTATACACATCTTCTGCATAGCTAGATGTTGTTGTGACGGGCTTGTCCACTATAAGTAATGATTTTATTAGAAGATGATGACTTCATTAAGTGGTATAATTTTTTCATACAGTAATATTCGTAATAGCAACTTGTATCATAAATAAAATTGATTGTGTTTGGTTATTTTCAGTTAACTCTGTTACTTCAAAGCCAAAGCCTGCGGGGACAGACGACGGTTTCAAAGGCGAGGGCGCGGCTTGCGGCAACTCGATTGTCAAGGTATGTAGCCAATAGCCGAGCGGCATTGATGTTTGTGTGACGTACATAAGTATTCGTACCAATTTGGCAATACAATATGAATAATACTGGATTTATTTGCAATGCATGTTTTTATTTATGTCCAATATTTTGTATTGGTATGTAGTTATGGACATTGGTACATTGTATCTACCGAAAATGCTTAATATAATACAACGAGTATTTTGCATAAACGAGTGGAACCGACTTAAGCCTCTATTATTGTTGGAAATCCCGAGTCAACATGATTGTTATCTATAGTTTGTTGACTTTCATGATAAACATTTTAGTTTACATCTTTACGCCACAACTAGGTAGTAGTTACTGGAAGGAAAATGTTGCATGCCTTGCGCATTACACTGAAACCACTTTGTTAACTTTCGCGTTAAAACTATAATATATTTTACATCTGTCGGGTTTGTGCACTTCTTCTTATCGCGCGAAAAGTTTGATAACTTGTCCTGTGTTAATGATTAGCAACGAATATGCTTTTAATTAGCTGTTATCAGCCACCCACTTGTTTAGTTGTAGTAATTTTCGCAGTTGTTACATCATTTAGCTGATCGGTTTTGATTCAACGATTTAATGGCGTATACGAACAAGTAAACATGGCTGCGTATTTATTTTGTTCAGATAGTACTATCAGATAATCTTGAACGCGTACTCATTAGGGTGCGAAATATTCTCATCTTTGTGTTCCCTTTGACACACTATGACAGATTCAAGTTGTATAATAACATAGATGTTTTGTAATTGAGTGACACATATTTTATTCAGTCACACCTGTTTTAACTTTATTGTTATGATGTATTCGTAGTCAATTTATTTTTAAATATCCCTCTATACAACTTGCAAGAATATAAAAATACTCTAAAATTGATGTAGGAATGAACAATAAGTTTATAATATCATTGGAAGCTAAACAAATTGTTATTCTTATTTTAGGTAGCGCATCAGATAATATCTTCAAAGTCGTCCCGAGGGTTCACGGTGGCATCACCCGAGGAGGACCACGCCGTGGCCCCTGACCTCCACCAGTACAACTTGATGCACCGCCGCGGCAGTAAGAGCCTGCCCGCCACTCCTGCACACTCACCACCCGGCAGCCCAGCCAGCCGAAGGAGGATGAACGGGAATCGGTAAGTCACTAAGTCATTAAATTCATAAAACGTTATTTCTCTTAAAAAATAATGGAATTATGCAAAAAAAACTTTAAAATTGTATTTGTATCGAACTGACTGAGATGTCTTGTAAAGGGGAGCTTATTATATAAAAAAAAACATACAAATTTAGCTTTCTAACTTGTTGGTATTTAAATCGGAGGTCAGCTAAATAATAATGTTTTTATACAGGATATTTTTCAAGTGCTTTATACACCTTAGCTGTTGTTCTGGTTATGGTAATTATTGTATTCCGTCTAGGTCTAGATAGAACCGGTTCTCGCCAGTACGATATAAGTATATCAAACTTATTTCTGCAAAAATATATCTGTTTGTTTTGTCTTGTCAGTGTACATGTCCTATGAACTTTACCATTCCCAATTATTTGTTATCTGAATACTTTCAAGGTTAGGTCGTCTTGATGAATTTCGCATGCGAATGTACTCGCTGAATTCAATTTAGAGATAAGACTATTACGAAACAATAACGTGTCGGCTACAACACTCCATTTCCATATCGCATGCATTTCAAATCAATCGCATAATTTAAGCCAAAGAAAGTTCTGTATATATAGACTAGGATTTATCGTATCAATTTTACGTTGGTCCAAAGACGAACAAAGTCATGGCTTATCTAGTGTGGCAATGGCATGTTTTAACAACGAAATATCTTGAAGAGTCGTCTGTAAGTAGGTCAGCCGCCAGCTATCAAAGTTATTTAACTAGAGGAGACTAGCTCTTTTTGTGAAAATCACGTGGTTGATTAAGTTCCTCATTAAATAATATTAATTTTTTTTATGAATTTCTATGAATATTTCATTTAAATAATGGTTGATTCTAAATGAACTGATAAGAATCTAATATTTGTGTGTAATCAGAAATAAAAGTAATAATTACAGTGATAAACAAAGACCAAACAGACACTAATCTTCTATTAATGTGTTATTTCCGTTAGTATTATTAATAACCTCTATTCAATATGTCAGCCATATAATAACTCAGTGCTTTGTTTTGTTATAGTTTCTTCACATCGCCGTACGAACCAGTAGAAGATGGGAATGCGCCACGTTCGTGGTTGTCTATGGCTCTGCTGGGTTTGAAGAAAGACCTCGCTACGTCAACCTCCACACTAGCTGAGGAAGACAGCTTCGACGTACTCTCTGTTTCGCGTGGTAACCTTGCGGAATCAGTTGAAAATCTTGGCCCAGCGCCTAAGAGGAAAGAAACTCTTAGCAGTATACCACAAGAACCAGTGGCCCAGGCCTCGAAACCCGCAAAACCTACTACTTATCGTCCCAAACCATCAGAACTACGCGAAATGAATTTCTGGTCGCCCACCTCCATGTGAAACTACTTTATAATGCTGCAGAGTTACGCTGTATAATGGACACATTTATTGCGTAGGTCTAAGCTTATAAGGAGTATACTATACACGTTTATCTACACGTGTGTTGACGCACAATAGCGTACGAACCCCACGGGGAATGTCAAGTTATGCAGAACAGTTTTCTGATAACTGTATGTTCTTGTGACTTAAGTTTACTACAGGGTTTTGTCATGTGGTTCAAAGTAGTCTGGCGAATATCAAGTTTGTATGCTAAGCAGCAGTAAGTTCAATATAATTACAGTCTATATTTGTAATGGGAATTAGATTAAGTGTAGGTTATTTACTGGGTTACCTTAAATTTGTAACATTTCATTATATTGAACAATAGTGATGTATTCCATTATAATTAGGGGTAGCTCTTAACTGTAGAATACTTCTTTGATTTGTTAAGAATTATTCATACGATGTAGTTGCTGTCCTAGTTTATTCGATATTTTCATAATTTTTCCATTATTATGATCATAAACAACAACAGAGATACACATTAACATAGTTGATATTGCTTGCAATTAAAGTTGATATGCCCTTCATATATAAGAATAACAACTTATAAAACAACATCATGTGACTCATACATCTTAGTAATAATCGGTATTATTATTTTGTACTTGAATGAATTCTCTGAGAGTGTGTATAATGTGTGACAATTTCTAAAGATACATGTGATATTATTTATTATAAATCGTGTTCAATTTTGTCAGTTCATATATAAATTGTAATTAATTTTGGAAGTATTAAATTTTAAGACTTACTTTAAATATTTTTGTATAAAAAATAATAAAAAATGAGGAAGCTATTTTTCTGAACCGCATAATACAAAATTTGAGCAGAACTTTTAAGATTGTATTAAGACTTAGCTGTAATTTTTAACTTTAAGTATTGAGCATAAATGTAAGTGCAGATTCTCCTACGAAAATAATATTTAGGTAATAAATATTATTGATCTTCTTCATACTGTTGTTTTATATTACTTCCTAATACCTACGTCAGTCAAACAATAAATTAAGGAAAGCTTAAACAATGTCTTTAATTCCTACACTATATAAGGGTTGCCGAAATACAACTAAACGTTAATCCATGTGTCATTTATAACTATGATGAGAGTTAGGAATATTTTGTACCGAGACCACGAGACGCGAATTCCTTACATTCTGCATTCATGAAACTATTAATCTGAACTGAAACAGGACTTTACTCCACGCAAGTTAATCATTTTCCAGAAAATGAAATGCAGCAAAACGTAACTGAGGTTTGACATAGCAACTTAGACCATAGAAAAGTAATTCCTCCATGCATAGAAACGATATGCTAAAATATTGTTCCTCATTCGGCACCTACTGTAATCGGCTGAAGTCTTATCAATCACTCAGTAATATCACCGGGATCATCAATCATTTCCTCCATAATGGATTTTATTACTTTCAATTGTGGCTCCGTGGGCGAGCCAGAAATTGTTACTTCATTTTATAAAATAAATCACTAGTCGTTACATAAGTTCCCGTTGCGTGACAAACCTTCGTGTACATTACCACGATTACCGACCATTTTGGATTTTTTAATGCTTTGGGTACCTACCCATTTTTTTCTGAAATTATGCTACTGTATATTTATACACCCGTTGCGTTCGTTTAAATAGGGTAATGACTAGTCATGTAAACGAACCTTTACGATAAAAACTTTGTATAATGTTTCAGTAATTACGTGAATAAATCATGAAACTTGTTATTTACGGTATTCAGATATTATTTTTCCCAAGGATCTTTAAGTTTTAACTTCTTATCAACAGATTATTTTGGCTTTTTTTATAGGTAGGTATAGTATAACTGGTTTGCGCTATTGATAGACCACTGCTAACAAAAAAATACCTACCAACGAAAAGTAAATAGTATTTTACGATAACAAGTTAAAGCCGTAGATATCCCTATAAGTACATAGATGATATTAATGTGGCATTTTTTGATCGAAACTTATTCAGCAGGATCGAAACAAGGTGAACAAGTTATATTGTTATAGGCGGCATTTACGTAAAAGCCCAGCTACACGCGATCTAACGCACGCACCTTTCGTGAGTTGGCTTTGAAAGGCTTTGCGTTTATAGCTTCCTTGTTCAACTGTAATTCGTCGACGGGTCGTCGATTCAGTAAGGTCACGACATAAAATCACGCATGAGCTGGAACCTGCCTTCTTGGTTTTTATCCTGCTGGGCTGGAGGGTATATTTACTAAGTTGTATCTAACGTAAATTAATTGAATCACGGCAAGATTAGCTTTCAGCATAATATTGCATGGGTACTTAGTATTCATAGGAAGAAGAGACCTACAATAGATACGTACATTTTTAGGAAAGATACGACTTAGGTACGTGGCCCATAGATAAGTTAGTCGTTTGTAGAAATATTTTATTTTTATATACCTATACATATTTTTTATGTCGGTCGGTAAACGAGCCGACGGATTACCTGATGGAAGGCAATTAGCGCCGCCCATGGACACTCGCAACACCAAAGGAGATACTACGAGTGCGTTGCCTCTTGTGGGTTGTTAGGGATTTACGGACAGGGGATTTTAGGATAGAAGATGGAGGGGGGGGGGGAAGGATTGGAGAGACGGGTGTCCGGTAACCTCACTCACACGGCGAAACAAAAAGTACCTATTGTGTTACGGTCTTAGCAAGCGTGGATATTATGCATATATTTCTGCCTGTCTTGTTATTGATTAGGTACAGCTTTTACCCTTCGCTCCCGTCTTGACTATCTAGCCTACCTACCATATCCTACCTACTCTACTCTATTCTTCTGGTTCTAAGCTCCATCCACCAATTCTCAACGAAATAGGTTTAACCATTCTTGGGGTTTAAAAAGTGTAACTAACAAGACTTACTTTTAACATATACCTACCTATGCATATGTATAGATATAGATATCTCACCGGAGATCGTGCGATATCCGCGGATTATGCGGATAGCCATGACCCTCTGGGACGCGACCAGCGCACGAGCTGGCCGCCGCCCAGCAGAGGGCCTTGGATCGCACAATCCCCATATACAACCTCCGGTTCTAGGGGTAAGTTTTCGTTTTGGGTAATGTTTGGATGCTGAACCAGGGTCCAACCAACTGCAGAGCGCTTACTATGGTCGAACAGGCTCCGTTTCTCGGCCCTGTTGATTGTGCAAGGCACAAGTCGATGCGTATGCGTTGGCGATCATTGTGTTCGTGGAAGACCCTTTTGACAAGTAAGTAGACCAGATATTGTTTTACGGCAACGTTTAAAGCTGCTGCTGATTGGGTGAGCGATGGTAGGTGGCGAGCAAGAGTAGCTCGCTGCCCGACCAGAGTCAGAGCGAGGAACATATTTGTGACTGTAGCGAGTGAACCCGAGTATGCATTATGGCCAATAGACCAACACAGATTGGGCCCAACAGGGCCGATGTTTAGGCGGGTCAAGCGCAATAAGGTACCGCGTCCTCAGCCTAGGCTAGCCCGAAGGGGCGGGAAATTTTTGGTCGATTTTTCCTCCTCGAAAAGACCTTTTATAACCATAGATAGTTTTAGACCATATAAATAAAAAAATATTTCCCTAATTATACGAAAATTAGGGAACTTTGTGTAACCGTCACAAAATACTTCTTTCAATATCCTAACGTTTTGTAGATACATACTAAGTAATACAATTACAAAAGTGACATAAATCTCAGTCGAGCATTCGCCATCCTGTATTTGGGAACATATTTTAATTTTCTCAGTTATGATCACACTTAGAGAACCCAAAATACAAACAGCTTCTTAGATAAAAGCCTGTTATTTCATAATTGTTCTTCCGACTTTTTAATTAGTCTCGTTTCATTACTCAAATCGGATTTGCGTTCACGCCCGTGGCTTTTAAGGGACGCCTAATTTTGTCGTCCAAAAAAGAATTTGAATATTCTAAGGTAGGGCGAAGAAACGAAATAGAAGATTTTAACAACTACTGCGTCATTTTAAATTCTTACAAAGTTTAAGGTGAATGTTTTTAATACAGATCTTTATGCATAGGTACTTCTCAACCTCTTTTGTAGAGTAGCTGTTAAAATTATTACGTATCTAAATTATAAAAGACTTAGTTATTGCCTTATTGTTAATCACCGTATCTTCAATCATCAAATCCTTAAAAAAATGTCTAGCAACGTTCTTGTAACTCATCTGGTGCAGTGGGTGTTCATACTTACCACTGGGTGATGGTGATCAGCCTGCTTGTTTGCCGCCCCATCCCAAAAAGAAGTTTCATGAAATACCTACCGTTTTTTATACCAAAATAGTACTTACATTTTACGATTGTAAAAAGTTAATTATTTCTGTCTTTCCAGTAAGCAAGTTAAAATATTTTTCAAGTCAACTAAATGTACCTAGACTTTTAGTGTAGGAAAAATCTTTTTAATTAATTAAGTATTTGAAGATTTGTACAATTTTATTTATTAAAACAAAACGGAATAGATACGTACTTAGGTCGTTATATGTATGATGTAGGTACGTAAAACCGATGATGCTTTTCAATTAAACCCCGAGGCTTTGGCGTGGTCCGCATTCGTACCTCGATGCCTACGTAGGTTGCTGAGAGTTTTTGAATGGTACACGGATCCGATTGGATCAATCTGGATTCTAGACCTAGAATTTTACCCAGTTACAGAAGTTTCTGCTAGTATCTACCTATTGATTAACATGTAACCTCGCTAGTTTTTTGTTTCGGTACACAACTCTGGATGTGAATTAGTAGGTTCCTAATAATAGTACGAACGAAATGGAAGAACCCTACAGCTCGGGATGAGCAGTTTGAGATCGGGGGCTGAAATACCTAAGTATGTCAAATAATTCGTAGGTACATATGTTCCACTGCAGTACGTATCTTCATTTCGTCTAAATTAGCGTAAACGTAAATAAATGAGTGTTTGCATAGTAACAGTAGCATTATAAAAATTGCATAACCTGCCTTCGTATGTGAATCACGTGCTGTTTTGTTTACATTGATACACACTTACGTAATTATTATCAATGATCGATGAGACGCTTTGAGATATAGAAGGATCGAAATACATAGGTTTATTTTATAAAACAAATCTGCAATCAGAACGGTACATTAAAAAATCTAGATAGCCAGTCTATCAATCAAGCATTTTAATACAAATCAAAATTACACACTGATTCTGAATTCAATGAAAACAAATGTATTAAATACTATAGATACTTACTTAGATATAGACAAAGTTGACATGGCACGGGCTATACCTCCCTAGGGTCTAGCGAGATGAAAATTA